GGTTTTTCTAAATTCAGAAATGACAAACAAGTGGAAATGTAGAATTTCCTGAGAAACATGGACCAAGCTAGCGGATTAGTACAAAGTGTACGATTTATTCAGCATAACGAAAACACCCTCATATTCTTCATCCCACATATTTTCTGACGCACGTCTGTTTTTCTTGTCAATACATGAATATAGGAACTGCCAAGTCATGACTTTACAGTCAACAGTTGCTGTTAATTGTCGGACAGGTCAGGACCACTAAAGCACGCGCTGATTAAATGTAACATGGTTACATCCGCAGGCCAATAGACCACAATGACACCTCATAAGTACCTTTCGAAAAAGCAGTTTCCTATAAACACTCTCTCTTCCATCTTTATCGGTTTGAACTGCAATATTTTAGACTGGAATAAAAATTAAATAATGCTAAAGACCTGTTTTTGTGAAATGTGGTCGTGTAATGAGCGGATCTTCCTCACAATATGATCTTATACATAACGTTACTTACACTGTAACAAATTACTGTAAATTTACGGTGCATTTCTAACGGTATCTTACAGTATGTCATAATAACTGTAACATACAGTTAAATTTCCATTCCTTTCTTTTAAATTAACGGCCAATGTCATGAATAAACAGTTAAAGCTGTCAATTTACAATAATAGCAGACTACCGTAATTCAACTGCATGTTACATATATTTTACGAAGTGGTGGAAATACACATACAAGTGCAGTGAATCACAATCCATCTAAATCTTTTGCAGGTTAATGTATGGAAGCCCATGTCAGCCACTGAAAAACAGGTGCTGTAAGTCATCAAGTCATCATAATGACTTTGACTTACAGGACATTACAATACATGCAGCTGTCACTTTTATCCAAAACGCCCATGGTTTGACATAATTTTATGTGGAGTAATCGGGGGTAGGTGTCTTGCTCAGGGACACTTCGACACAGGGAGCAGCCAGGATTCAAACCACCAACCTCCGTACTAACGCCCACCTCGACCGCTAAGAACCTCGGCGTCACACTCGACAGCCAACTCTCCCTGACTCCCAACATTGCCGCGACAACGCAATCCTGTAGATACACGCTCTACAATATCAGGAGAATACGTCCCCTTCTCACTCAGAAGGCAGCGCAGGTACTGATTCAGGCTCTTGTCATCTCCCGCCTGGACTACTGCAACTCCCTCCTGGCTGGTCTCCCTGCCACCGCCATTCGACCTCTGCAGCTCATTCAGAATGCAGCAGCTCGACTGGTCTTCAACCTTCCGAAATTCTCCCACACTACTCCACTCCTCCGCTCTCTTCACTGGCTACCGGTGGCTGCCCGCATCCAGTTCAAAACATTGGTGCTCACGTACCATGCTGTGAATGGATCGGGTCCAGCTTACATCCAGGACATGGTCAAACCCTACATTCCAACCCGCACTCTCCGCTCTGCATCTGCAAAACTACTCGTCCCTCCCTCACTGAGAGCAAAACACTCGACTAGGTCTCGACTCTTCGCTGTCCTTGCGCCGAAATGGTGGAATGAGCTCTCTGAAGACATCAGGACCGCAGAGAGCCTTCACATCTTCCGCCGCAAACTAAAGACACACCTCTTCAGACTCTACCTCGACTAAAGACTAACAAATTGTAGCACTTAAATTGTACTTGTAACGTCACTCATCTATAGCAAATTGTAAATTGGCTTATTTGAGGAAATTGCACTTTCTTGTTTCTTGTTCTCCTGAGTTTGTACCCTATGGTTGAATGCACTTATTGTACGTCGCTTTGGATAAAAGCGTCCGCTAAATGACATGTAATGTAATGTAATGTAACCTTGTGCTGCACAGCACACCTCCCTATCCCATGCGCCGCCTTCGCTGTCGTTTCATTGGCCGGAATGTAAAGATTATAAATATTTGTATTATTCAACGATTTCATTACCTAAAAGTGATTTGAGTGTCAATCGTGACCGACTGCTCCTGAACGTCACGTCAGGCGCGTAATCTCAGTTCATCCAGAACACCTGTGCAGTTCAACATCGCAGGAGTTTCTCATTGCCTCGTCTCTCCAAGTAACGTCGGTAAGTGTTATTTGCCTAGCATGATTAACATTCTCTTTCATTCTCTTTCCTTACATCTTGTTGTCTTCCTCAACTTTGTAATTTTAATATTTTATCAATGACAGTGTTTCTAAATATTTGATTTGGGTTTGTTTTACAGAGGCACTGGATTAAGGACGCCAACCGTTTGCTGCGGTCAATTTAAAGTGTTCCATAGCGTATTGTTGCAGTTAGTTTACCTTGTTCCTAATGATTTTATGATTCATTGTTTTATTATTGTATACATGTGGCATATGTTATATTTTGATCTTGGTTACAAATGCTGAACATTTTTGTCTTAAAGACATCTAATAAACTCCAACCACTATGACCGAAATTAGTTTGGTTGTCTTTCTTTAATTTGTGGGGAATTAGATGCAAAAGTATACGGTTCTAAGTTAACGGTAACATTCTGGTATTTATAACAAAAAAACAGTAATCGTATGGTAAGAAACTGTAATCCAATATACGACAACATACTGTAAAGTACGGTAGGGCACTGTAGATGAAACAGTAAGTTACCAGCGTCGACTGCCAGTAAATTGCAGTTAATTCACAGTAAAATTTGTTCTAGTTTACGGTAACATACAGTAATCCATTTTACGGTAACATAGCGTAAAAACCATTTACTGTATTATACCGTAAAATAACGGTAAATTCCTGACGTCCTTGCTGCCAGTAAAATACCTTTAATTTACGGTGAAATTTTTTAGAGTGTAACTGTACTCTGTAGTTTACAATATTTCTTTTGTTCGTACTAAAACACGCTGCGGTCGCTGTTTTCACCCAGGATTTTGTCAGTAGCCTTCAGCACGTGAAAAGCACAAAAGAGGTTGGGCCCAGTAAGCGATGCATTTGCATTCAAGGAACCAGAACATGCTTGTGATTTGCTTACAAGGTACTTTCTGTGTGCAGTAACCACCTCCCAGTGCGTGTCTGAGGGAAGCCCTCAGGCCATCGCCCCCTTTGATCACAGAACGAGATGCCTGTCACTCAGTCGACTGATGGTTTGCAAACGTTGCAATTACACACAGAGATCTGTCGTTCAAGGTGCAAAGGAGAGTCGCTGGCCACGTAACCCAACGTGTTAGCCACACATAACGTACCGGGTCGCTCCTCTTTTTGTCCTCAAGGCACACGTTTGTGTCGGCATGACTTATGGGAGGTATGTTCACGCAGACATACAATGCATTTTGTTCATAACGAACAAAGACAGTGAGAAGCAACAGCGGCATTGTGTGATTGATGAATTGCCAAATGTTTTGAACATTCTTATCCAGGTGTCAATTCTGAAGTTATTAATGCAGCACTTCCTTCTCACGGAAAGGTATGAGGTATGCATTTCAATGCCTAAAATCACAGGTGTCGTTCTCACGGGGGAAATTACAGGTGCAAAAAGCTGCTCTACTACTGTGTGAACACTGTGTGCACTTTGCTTTACAACAATTCTGGGGCACATCGACTAAACACGACAACCTTAAAACATGTTACAGAGCAAGTACTTCTAGGGAGCAACTAATAGCACAGGTGAAATTGATGAAAGAAAGAAGATTAATGCGATGTCCTCTGGCTGGATTTAAGACAGCGAGGCAGCGTTGGTTTCTCTTGTTTCACACACCTTGGAAGGGAAGCACCTGTGTGGGCAAACATAAATAAAGCAAAGCCAGTCCTGGAAAACACATTTTTGTGAGGAAGACTTCAGTTTGCACCAATGTGACACAAGTTGGAGTTCTGGCTAACAGATAATGTGCCATTTGATCTGCTTGCCATCTCATTTGCTCTGTGGCTGACGTCCATAGTTTTAATTAAGGCCACTGATGTTGATGACAGCACCTACCACAAAATCAAATAGCCTCAAACTATGTGTACTGTGGTTCTGCAATGACTAATGATATCCATTCATTCTCCACCTTGTGCACTGTAGAGATGAGGCACTCAACGCCTGCAGTGAGTTCCATATAACCTCCACATACATGCGTGCATAAATACAAACAAGCACAGCACACCTTAAAAGGGCCGGGACTAAGCCAGATTTAGTCTCATGACTCACACCTGGACCCTTTGATACCTGTGCTGCTGCCTTTAATTGAACGTTTCTGCAAGTCGGAATTCTTAAAGAAATTCTTAAATTACACTGAAAATGTTATTCTATTTCAAATCCTTTAACGTGTTTTTTATCCTTTCAATGACTTTTAATGTTTTTCTTTTATGTTTCAATGTATCAATGTTCTTAACTGTATTAATCTCCTTGCTTTCTGTTTGGACGTTTTTAATGGTTTTATGTGAAGCACTTTGAATTGTCTTGTTGAAATGTGTTATATATAATAAATAAATATAATAAAATTGCCATGCCTTGCCTAAAATGGAATTAGTTTATCAAATGGCCAAATAGTTACTTCTTTTCTCTGCAGATTCAGAGGAAAAGAAACCAATTTGTGTGGAGCCATACCTGCAGGACCAATGAAAATAGCTTATGATCCACAAAAAAGGGACCTATAAAAACACATCTTAAATGATATGAATAATAACCCAATAGAACAAATGCACATAAACTAGTGAGCATGTTGCTGCTATTTTATATGAATGCTTTGTTTTTTTAAGTGAAGTTGAAGCATGTCCGAGACAATTCTCACATGATCTGTTTTTAGTTGAAATTAGAGTGACTCAGCGGTGACTCAGCAGTGTTTGTTTTTACACTTCCAGCGAGCAGACTGGACCGTTTGGTCGTAACCGCCACATTTACCCCGCAGGACGCGATTGAAATGTCTCCTCTGTGTCGGTCGCTATGGGCTTTGTAGTAACAGTGTGGCATCCGCAGAGGAACTTCAGTATGAGGAAGTTTTATTTTTGCCCCCCCCCCCCCCCCTCTCTTCATTGGTTGCTTGGCTCAAAATCCCCGCAGCTCTAACCATTAATCTAGTTTTTGTTTTGCCCTCAGCTTTCATTTCAGGTGCGATGCCCGCGGCTTAAACTCACTCTACAAGAGCGGGACCCGTCGGGCTGCACCTCGGAGCGGCACAGCAGCCAGGTGCAAAGTCAATAAAGGCCGTGCGGTTGTGTTGTTTACTGAATGTAGGAGAGCGGCATTACTGCACAGCTGCCACAGAAACCAGAGGAGCAGAGGAAACACTTATCCCTCCTACTGACGTCATTAAGGTGAGCTCGTTTTGGTGTTTGTTTCTTTAGTCGCATGTGCGAGGCGATGCCCACCTCTGTGCGCTTATTCCTTAAGCCTTTGTGTACTTGCTGGTACTTGCCCGTCCCATCCGGACCACTGCTGTCGTTGTGCTTTTCAGGTTTACCTCGAGGCCCGTCCAGAGGACGGGGACAGTGTCAAAGTGATGACGGACGAGGTGACGCATATTCAGGAGGTCAGTGTGCAACTGGAGCGTGGATTTCCCACGTTACCGTGTGTGTGTGTGTGTGTGTGTGTGTGTGTGTGTGTGTGTGTGTGTGTTGAATAAGGGGAAGGGCATAGAACAACTTTTGTTATGTGTTTGTGTTTTTTAGGTGAGGTACTGTCTGAAGACGCTGAGAGAACAGATGGCTTCCAGGCAGAACACTAAAAACGACAAGGTACGCATCCACTGCATCGAGCACAAAGATGCATTAAACATAGAGATGCATTGAGGAATCTCGTAGCAATTCATAATTTATCATAATTGTTTGGGTTATGAACAGAAGCAAAAATTCCGGTCAATGTCTCGGCAAAGTCGTGGACGGGAATGAAAGTGAAGGTATAACCGGTGCTCTCAGAGTGGGGAAATCTTATTGGTTGTTTTTTGTCCGTGTGCTCCAGTACACTTGAGACAATCTCTCCTGACAGTTTGGCTATTTGTTGTTTTCGTTGATCACATATCTGTCTGAATCACACCCCTTGTTGTAGATTGTGCCAGTAAAACGATAAATACAGGCCGATCTAAACTAACAATCCGCTGCTCTCCTCTTCAGCATCCAGCCAATGGCTTCAGAGTCAACCTGTCCAGCAGCCAACCAGCTGTCACCAATGGCAACGCTGTTCTCAGGGAATCAGACGCCCAGGTGAGCTAAAAACAAAAACAGGCGGATGTTTGTGCAGCTTGATTTTGTGATCTGATTATTATCAGTTTACAGCAGAAACCAATCTCAGCTGAAACTGCTATGGATGCTTTCAAAAACGGGCACAACATTTATAAAGGAACGATGTCTGACATTCCAGCTGTTTCCCACTCCAACTGCCTGCTGCTGCTCATACTCTGTGAAGATGATAACAAATCTTAGCACACACACACACACGCACACATAGTAGTGTCAGAGCAGGAGGTGTTGTGGGTATTGTCGTGCGAGCAAAACAAGGACTAGACTTTGTCCTGTAGTTTAACGTGCACGGACCTATATCAGGCAGTTTAACAACAACATGAAAAAGGCGCTTAATACAAGATGCGCTTGAATTATATAGTCTAAGAGCATTTGGGATTGGTTAAAATGGAGGCGGCTCCTGCTTAGAACCCTCGGAGAGCCCCATTGGAGCACAGATGATCATCCAGATGATTTGCATATAGGTATGAGCATGTAATTCTTAGGAAGGGGAACTGGCTGTTTCCTGTTAAACTTCATTTGACCCAGATGTGCGTGCATCTTTTTGCAACATGTTCGTGTGCTGGTGTTGTGACTTGAAATACATGTTGTTCCCGCAATCCGGCTTTTATCCATACACAGTACCCTCTGTGTGTGGTATGTGGGGGGGGGGGGGGGGGCTGTCTCTGCACAAGTGAATGCTTCCAGCTTCTTGTCTAAATCCCTTGTGTTACCTCCGGCTTCGACAAACAGCCTTTTACACACCGCTCTTATCTGTCTGTGAGCACCAGCCTCGCCTGCGGGTTTTAAATAGTTTTGCCGGATTAAGCCTGATCAAAGCGCGTCACTTTCTGTCGGCCTAAACGCAGGGCGGAGATGATCCGGAGGACAGTGCGAAGCTCAGGGAGGCGACCAGGCGTTTGTACGCTCAGCTGAAGGAGATGGAGACGAGGCACGCGGAGGAGAAGGGGCGACTGCAGGTCCGTCTCGCCAGACGAGTAACATGACACGACTTCCTGTGTGCGGCTGTGACTCACTCTGCTGCTGTCCTGTTCCTTTAATCGCCCTCATTATCTGTGGAACCCTCACCCTGTGATAACCTACTGTTTGTGTATTTGCTCTACGGCACAGCCATCCGCCATGTAGGGAAACAGCCTGACCACAGTACAATCCCTCTGCCCTTGTACTAAACACCAAAACAGTTATGTTGATACAACAGGCGGAGACCTTAAGTCTCCTTCATTGCAAGTCATCAGCGAATATGTTTAGGTTGTGATTCAGACAAGTTCAGAGCAAATACTTAGGACTTAAGAAGGTCAGAACCGATTTCACAAGCCAGTTTAAGGATAATGGACTCACTCATTTTGAGTATAACCTCCAAATAAAGTCGTTTACATGATCTGGATAATTGTATAGGTCTAATCAGCCACAGCGATGGAAAACAGTAATTGTTTATGTGCGCAGAGCCTTTAACATGGCACCCACCACTACCTTACCACACGGAAACCCAAACAAGCTCTCACTCTGTGCCTCCCCTCACAGGCCGAGTCACGCGAGTTCGGCGTTCGTCTGGCCAGGCAGACTGAGCAGCTGCAGACGGTGGAAAAGCTGTCGGAGGAGAGGGGTCAGCAGGTGGAGGAGCTGCAGAGGCTGCTGGGAAGCATGGCGATCGAGAGTCGCAAACTCCAAGACCAGATGGCGGCAGGGGAGGAAGAGCTGCTGCAGCTCAAAGCAGACAAGGAGGAAAGGGAGGAGGATGAGCAGAGGTGACAAAGAAGAATCATTGGTACAAATAAAGTAATTAGGAAATTGGTGTCGAATCAACAATTTGCTAGCCTGGGTTTAAAATACAAATCATGTGATCTAACATGACAACCACTAGACAAAAACATGTATGCCGTTATCCATTTGCTATTGGTTTGGCAGAGTTCTCTCATATTGTGTGTTTGCAGGTGTGAGGAGCTGAATAAGGAGGTGGCCGTTCTGAAGGAAAAGATTCATCACCTTGATGACATGTTAAAGTGTCAGCAGAGGAAAGTCCGTCACATGATCGAACAGGTATTTATGCACACTGTACACAAAGATATTATCAACGAGATTCGGATTTTGAGGAGGCGGACACATAAAGCGTATTTGATGTGCAGGAGTGGAGTCAAGAAGAAACATGTGGCGAAAACAAAAAAACTCGTCATCATTTGCTGCCTCCGGTTTCTCCTGAGTGTTTGACGTGGTTTGTTTGTTTGCTTTGTTCACGGTGCAGCTGCAGAACTCCCGGACCGTCATCCAAGAGAGGGATCGATCCATAAGGGATCTGGAGGAGAGGGTGTTTCTCCTGGAGGGCGAGGTTAGGAGCCTCGTAGTTAGGATCTGAATTCGTTTTTCCGACCAATTAAAAGACAGTTCTCCTGCATGTGAAGCATTCGTTCTTCTGCTTTGTGATGGCCGTGGAGCTTCTTTGCACACAATTGAACATCTTCAACCCCCTCGTGTCTGCAGAACCGAGAAATGCACGCCCACCTGCAGTACTTCCGAGAATGCCAGGAGTCCACTGAGGAGAAGCCAGAGGTGGTTTACAGGTTACCTGCTTGTTTTCCTATGTACATTAAGAACACTGAATTCCTTCTTGTCTGAACTTAAAAACATTTGACTCCTTCTCCTCCGTTCTGCGTAGTAAAACACTCACACCGACGACGCAGACCAACAAGGCCCTCCCGGTCATCAAAATCATCGAGGTCAAGTCTGAACCGAGCCTCGATCAATGGAACGACCAGTTGGAAAATACAGTGTAAATATATATTCAACCCCCCCACAAGTGTGTCACATGGCTTAACAGACCTCATAGCGAGGAAGATCTTTACTGATCTTTACAAAGACACAGGTCGAGGTTAGCCACCTCTCTCCTCCACCACTTCTTCTCGTGCAGTAATGACATGTTTGCAAAGCTCCATGTAAAAGGGGGCTTGAGATGGAAACAGCGGTTAGAATGTTTGTATGTACATATAGAAAAATGTATAAATAGTCCACTACAGCTTATTGACCACATTCTGAAGCAGCGGCAGGGTCGGGGGGGTCGGATTCCTCAGTGCTTTGCACCACATTGCTAATGGCAGGCAGGCAGTTGGCGAGGTCAGCATTGAAATACGAGCCAAACTAAATGTAAAACTTATTTTATTTTACACTAGATTGAGTTAAATATAATTATAGAGATTATCCTATTTTATGTATTAGAATGTGGAACTTTATTTTAGCTATGCTAGCTAATTCTTCAAGGATGTACATATTTAGAAAGTGAGTACCCTTTTACTGTGAATATTGTAAATAGTTTGGTCTGTTATTTCTTTGAAGACAAACACATTTTTATTAAATATGATGAAATACCTGGATTATCTGATTTAATTGTATATGTGATGTTGCATCTTTACTGGGTAACCTTGTACTGCCTCCTAGTGGAGATATTAAAGACACTGATGATGAAGAAGTGTGTTGCAAAGCTTTTATCTCCAACCACGAAAGAGTTTAACCTCATATAAAGACAAATAAGTTTAATAAGTTATGATGGTCTGTATAAATATCTTACATTTGAACAAAAAACCATGGTTTACATTTGGACTTGGAAAAACAAATCCAGGTGACTTGCCATTAACTTTTCTTTTTTTACAAAAATGACAATGCAAACTGAGCCACGTGGGTACAATCATATTTGTCCGTTGAACATGAGCATTAGTTACAAGATACAAACAAAAACCTTCGGCGAGAAAAATTACTTCTACCAGTTGTTATACAATGAGATGCACATTTCTCTATCTGATTCTCTGAAATTACACGGAAAATAGTGTAATTTTGTTGCAGGAGAAGTCCTCCCAAATCAATTAGTGGGGAATATTAAAGCTCATTAACAACATTAACACGTTGTAACATTAAAAAAGTTACAACGTGTCATGTTTTCCAGCAGACTGTGTATCCGTTCAGAGGAACATTTTGCAGACAGTCCGTCCGTCCGGGGAACACATCTCTCACAGGGTGCTCTCCAACGTGTTGTATTTGTCTTTAAAACTTTTGAGCTCCAAAAAGTGTTTGGGCCTCTTGCTGCGCTGTCCGGTGGAGGGCAGGTAGGTGACCTGGATGGTGGAAGGACTGCTCCGGACGGGGGAGCCCGTCAGGTCCTTCGCTGCAGACTGGTGGTGCTGGTCCAGACTGGTGGTGCTGGAATATGCTTTTACCCTGAGGGAGAGCAGAACAAAGTATGCAGAACTCCACAAATGTACTAATACTAGCACACGTAATATTGTTCATGGATATCTCATGAAGCAGGAGTGCAAAGAGTAGTAGAAACAATAACATGTGAAGGCACGTTAATTGCTTCCACGACGCCATGCTTTGCCCACAATGTTTAAAAAACTAACAGTTTCAAGTGTGGACCAGCGGAGCGACACTTACACATCGGCCAGTTCGTCGAGAGCTCGCTGGTATTCGAGAAACTCCACTTCCCCAAACACCTGAAAGAACCAGCGGAGGTCAAATCAGTGACACGCTGCAAGGCAACTTTTAAACCCACTTTATTTTATTTTCAGCACCCGTCAGTCACACACACACACACACACACACACACACACACACACCCCGGTTCCATGGCGAGCGCTGTCGTAGCCTTCGAGCAAACGGTCAATGAGCGGGCTGCGGCTGCTCTTGATCAGCGAGTGGGAGTTGCGCAGCTCCATCAGCCAGTTCCTGAAGCTGCGTCCAGTAAACGCGCTGGGAGAGCGGCTTATTTCCTGCAGAGGAATCCCTGAGGGCCAAACAGGAGGGAACCAAAAGCGAAGGTTAGAAAAGACGAAGCTCCCCATGAGATGATCGGGTCAAGAACCAATGACTAGCTGATTAGAAGAACTGCTGCTTCCCCGGGAGAGGTAACATTGTAAGTGATTGTGAAAGAGAATAACCTGTAATGCGTGTGAGAGGAATATATTCAGTGTATGTGATGAGGCGATGATGAAAAAAACACCATGCGCGTCCAGAGTCGAGATGCCCGAGCCACACGTCTCTCACCTGAGTCACGGATGGCATCCAGAGCTTTCATTCTGTACAGGTAGTTGTAGCAACCTGTGAAATACAAATATTTGTTTTATATGCGTGCAACAAAATCTCCAGACATAACTTGACATTATGCAGCTGACTTGCATAATTCAGGTGGCAGTTGATGGGCTGAATGAGGCGACTGACTGATCTGGGATTCGGGCCTCAGCCTGTCGTCTTCCTCGGACAGGAGACGAGGTTCGAAGCGGATCTCGTGGACCTTGGACAGCATGGAGTCAATCTCCTCCCTCAAACCCTGAATCAGTTCACACGGACAAAACACGGACACGTCAACTCCGGCTCCGTAGGAGCCATTCAACGCGCTTTTGGCAACACAAACCCTGTACCTTGGGTGCGTTGTGGCCGATGGGTGCATGGGGTCCTCGGCGGGATCTCATCGCGAAACGCATGATTTGCCTTTTGACGAAGATAAACAGCAGCACGAACACCTGCACACAGAACGGGACAGGGTTCCTACACGTCGGCCATCCTCTTCCTCATCATCTCCGCACTAGTTTACGGGCAGCTGAAGACAGAGACCTGACGTCACTTACCAAGCTTCCATAGGCCATAACCAGAACAACATTAACCCCAGACAACGGCGGCGATTCTGCCATGTTATGCGTCCGCGTTGCACTTTGTCCACAGGTCGATCGCGTAAGCTAGGACGTTGTGTTACTAACGTTACATTAGCTTGGCAGCTAACACTCGGTTGTCCATCTTCAAAATAATGGCCACTGCTGCACAGGCAATAAATTGTTTGTCGGCTTTGGAGGGATGATTTTATAGAAGGATCTATGACGCAACATTACTGATACTCATCTATGTGTCCGGCGACATCCTGAATGAAGTAAGAAGTGTAACGTTTGCTCGTGCTAGCTGGGAGCGGTGAGCGCGACAGCGTCTTGCGACACTTTGCGACACTTTAGACATTACCGTAATAACGGGGTAACAGGGCCAGTTAGGTCTAATAACATGAATATTATTGGGCTAATTGTTGTGCATTAAAACATCCATTTGCTACAGGTTAGCCGCAGTTGGATTCATATATATTACATTATTATCATATTATTAATAACTACAGTAGTAGTAGTCGTTGTATTAGCAGTAGAAGGGGTAACAAATCCCAAACTATTTAATCTATGATTATTCTGTGTATATTACTTACATCACAATAATCTATATTATGTATGATAAAAAGATAGTGAGTGTATATAAAAAACACTTTAATTTGTTCTAGAGTGTATTAATTATGCATGCCTGTCCCTCACATAAATAAGTGACTACCATGAAGGGTCTCTCTCGAAGGATTTAAAAGTTGCACAATCGGACACATTAAAAAAAGTATGTTTGTAAGTTGTATTATGTGATACGTAGTGTGTGCAACTTTGGGTTGTCATGTCTGCGCTTTGTTTTAAATGCATTTTATTTTTCCTATTATGTATTACTTTGCAGACGTTTTCATACCTCGTAATCTTTCTCTTGATCTTGCATGTGAAACCTGAGTCGCTCTGAATATTTTCAACAAGTTCATATCGTCAAGTTCACGGCTCTCACCAAAATTGTAAACATATCATTACTATATCATACATGCAATTACCTACCACAATCCTATATGTGTTGTGCATCTATAACAACTACATGTCCCCATTCTGCTGATAATATTAAACCAGTGTGATCACATGTTATGGGTCCAGTTTCCGCGAAGCGCCGCGTCGGACCACGTGACGTCGCTGTCCGCGGTGTCAGAGTGGAAAAGAAACAGGTAAATTCAGTCTCTCGCTTATTGTGCGAGCGAATCGGTTCGCTATATTTCCCCCCCAACTTAGTTGTATCAACTTGGGGTTCAGGAATTATATCCCGTCCTGAATCCGACTAGAAGATCGACAACGACACCACTTGTCGGTCGGTCGTGTAGCAGTGTCAAATATTGAGCCGGGTTTCTGGTCAGTATCGCCTGTTATTTATGTTTCTTTCTAGCGGCCTGTGGGCCTCCCTTTAGCCTCGGTCTGCGTTCACAGCCCGGCCAGCAGAAGTCTAGTGGCGTTAGAAGCCAGTGGAGCGGTGTGTGGCGGCTTGTGCGGCGGCTAACGCAACGTTAGCTCGCCGCTCCGTGTTGCCGAGCGCTGCGAAACGACGTCGAGTCCCGCCCGGAGCTAATGAGCTAACGTTAGTTAGCTTGCGGCTATCGAGCTAAGTCGGCTAACGCTAACAACTCGGCGCTGCACGGGCCACTCGCGGCTCCCGGGTTAGCTAGCGGCTGTTGAAATTGGCCTCGTTGTCGCCATGAGGTGAAGCCCTTGGGGGGGGAGCGGAAGCCCACCGGGGCTTCAAAGCTGCACCATTTCCCCCCCATCAAGTGTTAGCGAGTTGGCTAGCATGTGGGCCATGTGGCCCGCAGGTGGAACTGGATATGTCGGGCGGGCCCCGGCGTTAGGCTTGTGCGGGTCAACGTTAACGTTGGTCCGCACGGGGTTTTACGTAACGTGTTACAGATTAAGCTGTCGATGACAAGGTTAACGCTTTGCTATCGGAACGTGATTCAGTCGGTTGCATGAATTATTGTCTCCCCCCCATTTTGATGTGCATAACAGTGTTTTAGACCCACCCGTGATGGATGTGTAACCGCACACCCTCGTTCCACGATGTGTAGGTTTGACTAAAACACCGGCACGGCTATTTTGATACAGAACGCGTTGCATAACGCTGTGAAATACGCTTAACGTTGTGCGCGTCTACGCCCGCACCGCATCAGAACCCAGCGTGCCGTGACTTTAGCTTCCCCGGGTCAGACCCGCGGACGGCTCTTGTTTTTTTACACATTGCCTTTGGAGAGGGGCTGAAAACACCCTTTGTCAACGTCCGGGCGTCTCTGGGAACAAAGCTGATGCTGTCTTCCTGATAGCTGCTTTATTCCCCCCCGTTAGCCAGTAACCCTCCAGGCAGTTTGAGGAAGTATTCGAGTGCAGCAGACGTGTGCATCATAGTATAAATGGGTCGTAAAGACAATTCCGTCATTCCCCTCTCGTCTGTCTCTCCGCAGGTGTTATTCTTTTTTTTGTAAATACTGTTATTTGTATATACTGTAAATGATGACGTCCATGGGCGGGAACCGAGCCCGGGGCAGCTGGGAGCAGACACCTGGCCCGGCACAGAGTCAGACACAGCACAAGCAGAGGCCTCAGGTACCCTCACCTTCCATCACCATCCATCACCTGCACACATGGGCAGTTATGATTTTGAGATATATCTATGTATAAAGAGAAACTATCTGCCAGGTGACTTTGAATGTTTACCTGCCACAGCCAACATTAACCGTGTATTCTGCTGGTGCTAACTTAATTCCCAGTACTTCGTTCTAGGTGGCATAATATTTGTTATTTCTGGTTTCGGAATGCTAATCTTGTCTTACACATTTTTCTGTGTTTGCTTCTCTTGGAATAGGCCACTGCAGAGCAGATCCGACTTGCGCAGATGATTTCCGACCACAATGATGCAGACTTTGAGGAAAAGGTCAAACAGGTGAGCAAATCTGCATCTAGTTCAGCTTTCATCCATTCTACTCAAATAGTACTAACGTCACTGTTTCCCAACCCGGGCGTGCTAGCTATCATTGACCTAACCTGTACATTTGCAGTGTCATTTTCTTCAGCCATCGCTAGTGAAACGCTAAATTCAGCAAATTTCAAAAGATCTACATGTCAAATTTAATCAATATCTCAGATCTATGTATGCATCTATGTTTTAACATTTTGCTACACAAGTGCCAGACGTTTCAGACAGGAGTCGCCTCTGTCTCATCACAACGCTCCTTCTTTTGCAGCTGATTGACATCACAGGCAAGGACCAGGATGAGTCTATGATCGCACTGCACGATTGCAATGGGGACGTCAACAGAGCCATCAACGTGTTGCTGGAGGGAAACCAAGACACTGTGAGTATTGGCTTTGTGCGATGGCTTAGCACAGTGAGGTCCAGATTGTGAAGCAATCAGTTCTACCTCAGGCCCACACAACCTGCTGTATCTGTGACAAACTTGCAGATGACCCAGTCGTTAGATGTATACTTGCAACAATGCTGGGAAAGACCACCAGAGACCAGTGAGCTCACTCAGTTGGGTGGTCAACCAGTGAGCTCACTGGCTGAGCATCCAACTGTATCATGTCAATGCTGTACTGGAGACCCGGCAACCCTAACATCCAACCTGTTAGTTTATGTATTTAAATATGTCTATATGTAGTTGCGATCATGTTATGGCTGGTTACATTGTCCTGTCAGTGGTCTATACAATACATTCCTCAGTGTTTTTTTTTTTTTTGTCATCCTGACTTGCCTCAAAGTCAGTCAGTGCCGCCGTGTAACGCTGCCTTTCTTCCTTTCAAAGGACTCCTGGGAAATGGTTGGAAAAAAGAAAGGTGTGTCGGGCCAGAAGGACACAATCCAGACAGAGACCGGAGAGGATGGAAAGGAGAACAGGGAGAAGGGAGGGGAGAAAGATGTAGCACGCCGCCGAGGTGGAGCTCCACGCAGAGGCCGTGGAGCCACCAGGGGACGAGAGTGTAAGTGTTTACCCTTTTCAACTATGGCTTCAGTATTTAAAAGATGGATATTTATATTGCAGAACAAAGCACGGGTGCGATCAAAATTGCAACAGCCGCTTGTTTAGTCTCCTGACACTTACTAATCAAAACAAACTGTTTTTGTGACCCATTCATGGGAATACAAGAGCCGGTAGCACTCAACGTATATGCAACTTGTGAGTAATGATTATGAGACTGTACTTAAAAAGGAAGGTTTTTCAGGAATGGGCGGCTTTCGCAGTGAAAGAAGCAGCAGCAGTTTGTTTGAGCTGCGTGGCTTCTATTATTTTAAGTCAAGATCACAAATGCTATGTAAAATAACAAAAAGTTGAAAATTACAACAGCTTAACATTAAAATTTGGTCAGCTTGTCTTTGTTTTTATGTACGCCATCTTGGCCAGGACCTTGTAGAACAGATTTAAAACCTCAATAGGCTTTTCCTGGATAAAAATAAGTTCAATGTCATTAAGAGTTTTCTTGATACTTGATTTGAAGTTGGGAGGTCCTCTCCATTATACATCGCCTCAGCTGTGGTCTTGAAAAGAGCCAATGATGGCCAGGGAGGGATTTGTAGTTGACCTTCATTTCGAATGAAGGTCTGCTCGGCTCCAATGGAGAACCATTATTCTAATAGTTTCTTCCTGAACTGTAACCAAATTCAAAAGATTCATTTTGACATTCTGCGAGTAGTGTCTAAATTTGAAGCTGTTCTCTCAAGTTCGCGGTCAGGAGAATGGCTTGGATGGAGCCAAGGCTGGAATAGCTGGCAGAGGGGCAGAGCGAGGCCGACGGGGAAGAGGCAGAGGAAGAGGGACTATTGGTAAGTGGCTGTAACTCTCTTTAGACAAAAAATGTTTCTAAACCAGACGATTCAGTACGTAGGAAGGGCTTATATTTTTACTTAAACCGCCGCTATTTCTTCTTGACAACGGTTGTCAAGCCAAGAAACTTGAATAAGCTCTTGTTGTGTCTCTAGGAGTGTCTGGACGGCGCGGAGGCAGGTTTTCGGCGCAGGGCATGGGGTAAGAGAACACCTGTGTTGCCTTAAACCAGAAGGCCTTTTGTTCCACTTTTACCCGTTGCCATGGTCACCAGGGAGCAGGACCCCAGCCTATTGTTTAGCTTTAATCAAAAGGAGGACTCCATACATAGAGCCAATGGGTTAGAGCGGCGTGGGCTGAATAACTGTCATGATGTCCTAACATTTTATTTTGAGTGAAATTATGATAGATCCGTGTGTGTGTGCGTGTGTGCGTGTGCGTGTGTGCGTGCGTGCGTGTGTGCGCGTGCGCGTGTGCTCTCATTATGTCAGTTAATGAGTTTATACTGGTATCTTGATCAGTAGGTTCCGTAACAGAAGAGGTAGTTCTTAAGTGAGCAGACTATCCAAATATAGCAAGTTAATGGTAAAAACCTTTTAGTTGTCATGTCAATGTCCTGTCTTTTGACTAGGTTTTGAAGTTATAGCTTTAAATTTTTATTTTGTTCTGCTGTAGCAAATGTAATGTGTTTCTCTAGTGATGTCAATGGTGGAGTGGTTTCCTCCCAAGAGAAAGACTGCATTTACTTGTCTTTCTTGATTGTGTTCTTCAAAGCTACAGTAAACATTATACACATTATATGAAACGCAGGTTCAGGAGGTAGAGGAAGACCTGACGGAAACTTCAAGTGTTTTAATTTAATTCAGATGTTTACTCAAGTGGTGGTGCACTTCGCACAATTGCTAAAAGAAAACCTAATATATTCATTCATAATTTGTTTCCACGATGTTGTGAAAATGTCAAGCAATTTAAGTGTAATGGTAAAGTGTGCGCCCAGACGTTGACTTGCATATCTCAAGGAACACTACAATATGCTTTGTTTCATATTGGTCATAATTGAGCTGACTGCTGGGGCTTCGCACCTACAATTGCACGAATTGCTAGCTAAGGTGCTTTTCTATTACCGACCCACGGCACACAACACTTCAGTGATGGCTTTTGCTCCTTGCTGCTAGCACACACAGTTTACCGGCATTGCTTCGCTGTCACTGCAACACAGTGGCTTTAAAGGACGAGGGTTTCCAAGGATAGAGATTCCTTGACCAGTTCATAACTGTGGATTGCATTCCTGTGTCCATCACGGTGACCATGTGCTAAGACGTCGTGCACCATTCACCTCACTTACACATTCTGCTTGGAGATGTTAGCATGCCCGGAATTAAAATAGAAAATACTGTGAGCTCACAAGTGAAACAAGTACCACAATTCACTACTTAAGAATAACCTGATAAAACAGATTTGTTCTAAAGTTGGTTTAAACCTGAAATCACTGGGATCGTAGGGTAGAAATTAATAAACTAATTCAGTTTAATCCACAGCGGTGTTTTTTGTTTTTTTTGGCCAAATATAGCAAATGTTTTATTCCATATTAACAGTAGCTTGTAGATGCAGAAAACCGCAGGGTGCCAAGAATCTCAGACACATTGCTTGATCATCTTTTGCATTAAATACAATCTTTAAAGTTGCCCCAGTTTTGAAAACTGTTGCGCTACTGTTGAAGGAAGTGTCTTGCAAAATATTGGTTTTTGTATCACTTTTTTCATCCCTTTTTTTAAAAATATTGATGTTTCTTCTGAATGTAACAAGCATTTCAGTGAAACGGATCATGGTTTTTGAAACCACATTGAATTGATCTTGAATCACTGCCCTTCAGATCCACACTGGCGTTGGCCATAATTGCAGCATGTAACATGCTTTGTATGCTTTGTATACCACCTTTTGTATTTGAGTTCTGCAAGTGAGCAGACAAAAAAAAGCGGGAAGAGAAGGGACTCCCCGTTTGTTGAATCTGTAGAGGCTTCTCCAAATAGGCATGAATATCATCCCTAAAAATGGTTTCAACTGTAGAACACAGCTAAAAATACTAGAGTGACTGGATTTGCTCCGGTGGAGACTCACTTAAATTTCAATGTGATCAACGTTTATCACTGTGTTTTTGTCATTATTACATTTATACTGAAAGCACAGCGGGCTCAAATACAGCTAGTTGAGTAAAGCTGGTGATTTATTTCAATGGAGATATTGAATGGCTGCCGATGCGTTCACAGCAGCATCCTGTAGGACATTCGGTTTGAGATGATGAGGCCGTGTGATGGGCATCATTTAAATTCCTGACGTTGTTTAGTCGATAGAAATATTACTGCATTTACTCTTGCAAATCTCCCCTCATCTAGCAACGTTTATTCTGTTTGTGGCTGCATTGTGTATACTTCTGGTGAATTGGGTTTCTTGGCCTGGGTATTTACCCACATGACTAAAAGTCCACTTGCTTGCCTTGCATTGGGGAGGGACATACAGGTGGCGTAGAGTGTTTTACAATACTGGCACAGGCAGATTGAAGGCATTTTGCTCATGCTGCTGCTCTAGATTGTGGTTTGAAAAACAAGCTTTATCTTCTACTTTTACTTTCTTGTGCTTCTTGTAATTGTTGCCATTATTTTTCCTCTAAAGCCAGATTGATAAGGGGCCCAGATATGATATTGCAGGAGGTGAGAGGTGAGTGCATCGCCTCTGGTGTGTCTGTTATTCTTGTTTTCTGTAGGGAGACTTTTAAGTGACATAAAACAGGATGTTTTAATATAAAACAAATTCAAAGCAACATATTACTTTACATTCTATTAAAAGTATATGAAATGGAACTGACCTTCTATAAATTTGATGTAAAATCTGCTGAAGCAAGCCATAAGTACCCTCAGAGGTGCATAGTGAAATCTTTAGACAAATAATGAAAGCAGCTTGACTCAGTCTTTTACTTCATGTTGCACCAGCTGTAATTTTTCCCAGCATGCATGGACGTGTTTGATTAAAAAAAGACACGCAGTACCAGGAAAGAGTCGTTAAAAAACAACACAAACAGTCTTAGAATGCTCACATGTAATTTGCATGTCCTGACTGTAAATCCTCTCAAAGACAGTAATGGATTCCCTTCAGCTTGTCGTTTCCTCTTCCTGCTACAACCCACCCCTCTTCCGAAGTGTTTGTATAGTTTAAAGTGTAATGACGATAACGGTAGAGCTGGGGATTTATTCAAACGGTACTCGTAATGCAATATTCAGGTGCAAAACCATCCAACCTGCTAGTGGTTTGAAGCTCTTAAGAATTGAATTGAGGTCTGCTTCTGCTTGACATTTTCAAAACTTTGACCTGTAGAAGGTAAGTTAAAAATGGACCCCAGATTATTCTGTCATCACTAAAGTCTATTTTTCTTTTTACGTAGTGCTGACACGTGTGGCCAGTGCTGACCCTTTTACTCGGCTCTCACCTCAACCCACTTATTGGCTTTCTTCTGCAGAACATTCAACCCTGCTGACTATGCAGAACCAGCCCAGACCGAAGAAAGCTATGGAGGGGGCAGCACCTGGAACAACACTGGAAGCACAGAGCCCGAGGAAGGTGCTAGTAAGTTAATTAATTAATCAACAAAGGTTTCCGTCCAGTAAGACTGGTTGATCATCTAAACAATTTGCATAAGCGACAACCCAAAGATACCTGTGCGTTAAAGATGAAAGGAAGTTTCACTTGTGGTTGAGGGGAGATCACCTTTGGATGCTGATGATCAACCAAGCGCACAGTTCCAAATCCTTTGCATCCAACACTGTGCGTCCAGTGTAATAATGTCTCTTCCCTGCATTCAACTTTGAACTCCTCACCTCTGTCTCCAGGGTTGGAATACGCTGCAGGAGAGGGAACAAATTACCCGCCCAAGTTTGACTCTGCTCCTGGTAAACCTCTTTATGCATCGCTCATTTGGTTCGAACTCCTCTTTTTTTCTTATCTTGGTATTGAACTGTTTCTTTGACTCACGCAGGTGCCTGGAGGTCTGCCACTGAGGAGTGGGGCACTGAGGACTGGACTGAGGATGTGTGTATTTCTGCTGTAGTTTTATATTTAAGGCCAATCCGTACATATCAGATATTTTTGCTTTAAAGAAGGGCTGTATTTATCTAGGACAGGAAAGCCATGACTGGAGACGGTGACTACACTGCTTGGTCGAGTCATAGAGCTGCAAATTATGTGAATTTTTGGTCTTCCAACTAAAACTACCTCCATCCTCTACTCTCTCTTCCTTTGCAGCTTTCAGAGACCAAGATATTCACAGCTTCCAGTGTGGCGTCTGCCCCTGTGCCTCAAGAGAATGTGACCATCACCAAAGGACAGAGGTGGCTCACTTGTGCTCTTTATTAGCGGGACTCCTGTTTTCCAGAAATTAGTCGATTTGCATGGTTTCAGTGTTTGCGATACAATATGACATTTTTTAAGCAATTATGAAGAGTTGCTATTTATTTCCTATTTATTTGTCACAATAACAAAACTGAATATTATTCTGTTTTGTATATTGACATGAACAATTCAGAAAATTAAAATTTGTGTTTGTAACCCTAACGAATAAAATGTTTTACTCGCGGTATAAAATGTTCAGGTGACCCGATTAAACCCTATAATGTCTCTGAAATGTCAATATTTCTGCATTGCCATAGGATTGACCTTGCGGTGCTCCTGGGGAAGACTCCACCATCGTCCTCATCAGAGACAGAAAACCCCCCCATGGAGGCCGCCCAGCCCCCATCCTTGTCCCAGTCACTGGTTTTTAGCAACTCCAAGCAAGGAGTGTCGCATTCCCAGACATCGTCCAGCATCCCTCACACCCAGCACAGCATGGTGAGGCCTGCCAGAAAAATACAACGAAAGCATTTTATAGGGTTAATATCTCCCACAATTCCACACAGCCAGATAGGAAAGGGATATCTTGTACATCAGGTCAATTGTTTTTATTATTATTGTGATAACTGTGTCAATTCGCCAACATTGCAGGTCAGCATGCTGAGCAAGGGTTTCGGGGATGTGGGGGACGCTAAAGTAGCCAGCACGGGGACCACGGGTTCTCAGTTCCTGGAGCAGTATAAAACAGCCCAGGCACTGGCCCAGCTGGCAGCCCAGCACTCCCAGACTGGACCTCCGAACTCAACCCCTTCATCCTGGGACACCAGTGCCACCTCAATGGGACCGTATGGTGAGATGACATTCTACTGCAATTATTCTGATCGGCTTGAAATGCCCTTGAGCATTGTGATGGATAATTACACCGATCTTTAAAAATTCTTTCAATGTTGGGATATCGGAACTGTTAATAGTAGGGGTGTAACGATTCATCCACTGAATCGATTAATCGATTTATATTCCTGCGATCCAACTGAATCGATCTGTGCTCAGCAAATTGGCATTCCGGACATTCCTGACATTGGCATTCCGGACGACGAATGGTACATAATCGATTTGTATCGATACTTGGAAACTGCAAATTGGATTTAAGCACAAAATATGTATGGATGTGTGTTTGTTTGTTTTTTAGCACTTGTTTTTAGACACGTTAAACGTTACTCAATTCAGTCTGCCTGTCTGTGACGTCATCAGTACGCAGCGGCAGCCGCGCGAAACTCTGAACAACAACAAAACACAGCGTGGAGGAGACGACTGCGAGCGAGACATTTACAAACCAACGTATCGATCCAGCGTGTGGAAACATTTTGGCTTTTGCAAACACAGAGGTGTTCTAATAAGTCGGTCGCTGTTTGTAGAATATGTGGAAGACAACTAAAAAAACACGGAAACACGACAAATCTTTCCGGCCATCTACTAAGGCGCCGTGGTATTAAACAACGCCGACAGTCAGGCGCCTCTAGCAGCGTCACCGCTGCAGCAGCAGCAGCAGCAGCAGCAACAGAAGGTAACTCCAGCTCTGCAGACACCTCAGGCCTCGCCAGCACCAAACTCAACATCACAGTAACAATTGTTTATCTGTAAAGACGTGCGACCCTACGATGTGGTTGAAAATCCTGGGTTCTGTAAATTGATCCAAACTTTGTGTAATTATTGTGTAATGTTTACATTGAAAATGGTTGCACAATAAAAGGTTCATACATTTGCCATCAATTGCTTGTTTATAATATCCGTAATTAGTTTAAACCTGATTTCCTTAGAAAACAAAAACAGGGATCTCGGAAACTTTGCCTGCACTGTCCAGTAAAGTTACTGAATCGAATTGAATGGTTCTAAATGAACCCAGATCGTCCATGAATCGAATCGGCAACAATGAATCGCGCTTCGAATCGTTGTTAAAATGAATCGTTACACCCCTAGTTAATAGTCATTTTTTTCTCTCCATTTTACAGATATGAAGACTCAGGCGGAGTCTGCGGTCCATTCGCCCTTTACGAAGCGGCAGCCCTACCAGGCCGCCACCTCAACCTCGTCCATGTTGGATGTTTTCCTGCAGGACAAAGGCCTGCCTCCTTCCTCCTCGTCTTCTTCCATGCCACAACAAACATCGTCATCCCATGTGGTGCCTCCACCTGCTTCCTCCCTTCCCAAAATGGCAGCAATTCCATCACTTGGTCAGCAAATTTCCCCAAGTTCCTCAGATGCCCATGGTTCTAGTCCACTGCCACTGCAGCAACATAAACTCAAACAGCAGAAGAAGAAAGCTTCCATTACAACAAAGGTAACGACTGAATTCAAACCACGGCGTATTCAATATGTCAGGATAAGGTATTTTTAATGAATGACAGAATGACAATCTTCCATGTAGACAAAAACTGCACACATCATGGATTTGGTGTGAAAATATAGTCTGGGTTTCCTCCTTTTAACACTTTTATAATGCCCTTCATCTTCCTCAGATTCCTGCATTGGCGGTAGAGATGCCTTGCTCAGCCGACATCACGGGCCTCAATCTTCAGTTTGGAGCGCTGCAATTTGGGTCAGAACCAGTTCTGCCAGAATACGAGTCCGCGCCCGCCACCACAACACAATCCAGCCAGGTTCAGAACAGTCTGTACACGAGCCCCGGCAGGTTTGTACCTTCAAAAATCTTTTACATTCATGTCTTTAGAAAAGACATGTTTTGTTCTAAAGTTAAATAGCTTTATTTTTATGGCTGTAGATTAAGCAGTTGAACTTTTAGTATGTTCTTTTTTTTTGAGAGAATATATATTCGTCAGAGCCGCTTGGGTCACTAATAGGACCCAGGCGCCGTGGTTTCCGGTTTCCTTTGACTGTAAAATATAGATAATTGAGAATTAAGGAGTCTTTTTACGGAGCGCTCCAATTACAATCAGCGCAGCTCTTCTAGCTTATACAGCTGCCGTTCAAACACATTGATTAATCCCAATGGTGGACTGTTAATTAGAAATGAACGCGCAGTTCAAAACCAGTCAGTCTCATTTGTCCCGAGAATGTCCCGATTTATTAGGTGCTCTAATGTGAAGCTTTGCCATACGACAAAACTCTTGAGAAAACGTATCCTAGAGAGATGAGAATAAACCTAAGAGGCTGACGTGATCCGAGTTTAATTTAAAGCTGCTGGACACCGAAAATTCAGTTAAAATCTTTTCTTTTTTTCTTAAATGTAAATGTTTTTCAAAGTTTTGTTTGATTAAATTCATTCTTAAAAGCCCTTATTTTACCTAAAACGAGAACATTTATAACGCAATGATAGACATTATTGTAATGTTAAGGAACTTTGCCTGAGGAAACCATCCCGTTGAGTGTTAACCGAATACCTCCACTAGTCGTTCAATTACAATTACAGTTACAATCTGCAGTGAGTCAACTGCAGCTCTCTCCAACCCCAGTCAGATGGACCTGTACGATCAGAGAGCTGCCCAGACCCGGCGCTACCCTCCCTCCGCCTCCTCCTCCCCTCAGAAGGATATGCAGCCCAAGGTACGGCCAAAGCTTCCCTCTTGTTCACTTGAGCTGGTAAAACATTTGATTTGGTGTTGTGGTATTATAGTTAAAGCAGGTGCTATTGTGGACACCGTGCTGTGACCTTTTGAGAAAAGCTTTTGTTTAGTGTGGAAATCTCCTGATATATTCGTTTTTTAAATCTACAAAGCGCCACACAAATTGCATCAGTTGATGTCATAGGTCTTTATACAACCAGGAGTCTCGTGGTTTTAAAGTTTTTCCTCAATCAAAAATCACGTCACGAACATTACTCGAACCCAAGTGTTCTGAATGACAAAGGGAGCCGGTGTTCCTAATAGACTAGTGTCTCTCTCACTCTCACTCTCACTCTCACTCTCACACACACACACACACACACACACAGTGTTCTTGTGGTCAGTGTAATTGGTTCCATGCTGCGTTGTTTCACACATTAGAGTACCTTGTGTTTCAGCTGGGGGTGAGAATGGGCTGTGTTTTTTGCGGGCGTTGACCTATAAATGTCCCAAGCAACGTAAAATCAGAGGAAATGCATGCAAAGGGAGAGATCTCTGCTGATACAGACACCGCCACATGCTTCAGCTGGTCATAAGAGATGATTGAGAGGAATTAGTTTTCTTTCAATCTATACATAGAATCTTTAAGAAATCCTTGCTTATTATGCCTTGACTAGTATGTTGCCATGGAAACTTGAGCTTACTTGTATCTGTTTTACAGAATGGCTTCAATTCAATGCAAACTTCACAATCTGTGGAAGGTAAGTGTCTAAATACTTGTTTTGTGATGGTGTTGTTTAAATGTTTCCTAATAACTCTGAATTAAAGTTGATTCCATAAATCTCTTCCCTGGTTTTCCAGCTGCAGCGGGCTCTGCAGTATCGGGCAAGCCGGGCTCTGATTTAGCGCCGCCGGTCTCCAGTATGGGCTCCTTGGTTGACTGTGGCTCCGCCTCAATGTTGTCTGCTTCCAATCAGACGTCCCTCAGCGGTTTGGGGCACAGTGAAGACCTGCCTCCAAGCACCCACCCCCCTCCGCAACACAACAAGTGAGATGCTGCTAAATTAACACGTGTATAAATTAGGAAGTGAACCACCATCTTAAGTCATGACCTCTGGACCGACTCTTGCATCCTGTTTGGTAGCCTGCAAAATAATCTAAAAAAATCTGGTGCCAGTGTCAAAATTTACAAAATGGTCTCAGTCAGTAGTTGAACAAAATGTCTTGTGTTCTGAGAATTCAAAGATCATAATTGTGCAGTATTTTTTTTATATATATTTATATAAGTTATCTAAGAATATCCAAACTAATAAGCCGCCAGTATGGGTGTTTGCTGCCCACACATTGTGGACTTAGTGCGTGGGCGGGTTTAGGTTTACACAACTGGGCACATGCAGGACTCTGAGTGAACCCAAGTATCAGTACATGTGACGGGAATCGGAGATGGTTGCGACGTGCTCTGATACTTCCTGTTTTTGTTTTTTGTACAGCTCTCACCCATCACAACAGAACAGCCACATCCCATCTTCAGTCCGGTGATCTAACTCAGGCCTTCTGGTAAGCCGGTTTAATTTTATTGGATGTGGATACAGCATAATGTCTTCTGCTTTTTTTTTATGACCGTTGAAGCAGATGGTTATTTTAACCAGACATAAACCATGAGTTGTATGTACATGCATCTTTATCCATCTCTGAGCATTTTCAAAGCTGCACTTCCTGTGATGGCCCGAAGGTCACATTAAATGTCTATTCACTAATGGAAATGTAACCTCATCTTCTGTTTCTACAGCATCACAGCATAGACGGTGACTCGAGTCTGCACTCCTCCTCCTTCCCATCCTCAGTTTCCGCCGGGCCGCCATCCGCTGCCTCCTCATCCTCGGGCGCTGCTACGCAGGTGTCACTAGGGGGTCCTCAGGCCTCCTCTGTAGGCTCTGCCACGGTTTTAGCCCACTCTGGCCTCGGCCCCGTCAGCAGTCTGGCCATGGGCCTCAACGCCGCCTCCATGTGTGTCCCGGCTGCTGCTGCTGCCGCAGCGGCCGCCGCTGCTTCCATCACCTCGGCGATGCCTTCTTTAGCTACTTCGTCATCCTCACGGAACTCTGGGGCGTCCTCAGGTTAGATGTGAACACAGGCTACATGAGAAATCCACTTTGTGTTTTGTGAAGTAATGGACCACTGTTGATCAGTACGGATCCTCACTCTCAATTCGGAAAGCAGGTGAACCTCAGATTAATCAACAATAACTGAAATAAAGGGAGAGAATACATGATGATATCATGAGGTATTCACATGTATCTCATAAAATAGAAGACAAGCTTGAGAAGCTTAAATGAATCCACTTATTTGAAGAAAATTATTTCACAAAAACGTAAATGAATATGAGATGGTTACAAAACCCCTAGCATTTCATAATTTAATCAAATTTGATGCAATTGTTATGTTTGACTTGGCTTTGTGCTTACAGGGAAACCACCTCCCAACCTGCCACCCGGAGTGCCCCCTCTACTGCCCAACCCATACATCATGGCCCCTGGACTACTGCACGCCTACCCTGTGAGTTCCTGCCAGCACCAAGTTGGTCTTTGTGTTTTTGAGTTTTCTTTCATTAATCTGTCTTCTGTTTCTGTTCAGCCCCAAGTGTACGGCTACGACGACCTACAGATGCTGCAAACAAGAATACCGCTGGTGAGTCTTAAACTCCCGCAATACAAACCGTGTCCACAAATCCTTCTTTATTAACTCGTGTCCACTTTGGTTTTACCAAAAATACTTTTCACTTCAGGATTATTACAGCATCCCGTTTGCAACTCCCACGACGGCACTGACTGGCAGAGACGGCGGCTTGACAAACAACCCTTACTCTGGTGAGCCATGTAACAACTGCGTCTATTAGAAGATGGGCTCACTTTGTCCCTCAGCCTCATGTGCTCGACTTGCAAACAGGAACTTTTTCTGCGTTCTAACGTCCCACTTTGTCCCGTGTTCTACAAATCCGCAGGTGACTTATCAAAGTTTGGTCGAGGTGACTCATCATCCCCGTCTCCTGCCACCACATTAGCTCAGACCCAACAGACCCAGACGCATCACAACACGCAGCAGCCCTTCCTCAATCCCGCGCTGCCGCCTGGTTACAGCTACACAAGCCTCCCTTACTACACTGGCATGCCGGGCCTGGCCAACACCTTCCAGTACGGACCTGCTGTGTTTCCGGTGAGAGAACTCCACAACCTGGCTGACTTGTTGACTTGTTAGATCACTGTTCCCACCCTGACATTTTAAAGTTTTGTATGATTGTCTTCAGGATTTTCCCGGCTTGCTGACATGATGACCAACAATGCCATGTTTTGTTTTTTAATCCGTCCAGGTGGCTCCTACCTCGTCGAAGCAGCACGGTGTCAACGTCGGCGTCAATGCATCAGCCGCTGCCTTCCAGCAGGCTGGTGGCTATGGTTCCCATGGATACAGTACTGGTGAGGATCTAAACGCTAATAAAGCTGTATTATTTTCAGGGGTCATGCAGGTTCTTCTCTGTGGCCGGATACCAATAACTGCTCTCACAAAGAGCCCATTGAGTGGAGTGCATATTTTATTTAATTTGAGCTCGACCGCGTCCAAAAGCATAAACGTGGGGATGATGCGTGTGCAGAGACTTGGGCTGCGCTTGTGCTGCTAATGGTTCATAACGCATCGTCGTATGCTCATTCTCCCTTGAACGGTTGACCTCAAAGTTAATCAGAGTGCTTTTAGATTGAGCATGATGAATATTGTGGTTTAACTGTCCATTACTGGAAAGGCATCTGCACCGTGTAGTTTTCAACCTTTATACATACAAAGAGCATGCCTCAAATTTGAAGCTGTTTGAAAATGGCATCAATTTGGTTGCCACGTCTGTTGAATGGTGTCTTGTGATGAAACATATGGGACTATCATTTAAACTGGAAGGGAATGAGGAAGATGGGCTCTTGGCTATACGTGTTTAATTAACAGTGGTGAGATTATTGGTCGCTCGCTGTCTTCCAAAGCTTTCTCTGCTATAGAGTTCGCACCACGGCTTCACCTTCCTGCACACACATTCATCGTTAGCACATCACACAGGTTTCTTTTACTAACTCATTTTCAGCAGTTTTGATTTTTTTTTTCCGGTATCTTATTTGCTTCAGTGATGCTGTTTTGTTTTGGGTTTTTTTTCATTTTCATATTTTAATTAATCACTCAAAATCCTCGTTTGTCGCAACATGTGCAACACCTATTTGCTCTAAGCTGCACCATCTGCTGCTTTCTGCCATCACCCAAATCAAGCTCACTCCATACCCCCACCTCCCCTCCAAAGAACACACACCCTGCCTGCCCCCCTCACCTCCCCCACCTCCTCCCCTCAGACTCAGTCAAATAGTATTTGCAAATGATGTTGGCGTTGTTTCTGACCGGCTTGTTGTAACCAGATTGACTGGTTTTTGCCACAGGGGACAATACATTTGGTGTCAAAGTTCAGATACTTACAGTAAAGTATTGCTACGGCGGCATAATGTCTTTGTTAGTAAACGTGACACGATCTGTATTGTCACAATTTGGTAAAAACCAGTCCATGTGGCACACTTGTTTCAGAAAAACGCCACGAATGGTTTGTAAATGCTACTTGAGGAAGGTCTTATCCCCCTGCCTGGTGTGTTTAACGCTGTGGGCTGCGGCTGTGTGTCTGACTGTTGCAGGCTATGAGGATGTGGGCCAGGCTTCAGGGAGTGGGGATTTCTGTAAGGGCGCATACGGCACTGCCGTGGCCGCTGCCGCTTCTGCACAAAACAAGCCAGCCAGCTCTGTTTCCGGGCCGGGAGTCGGTGAGTGCCGCCACCTGCCAAAATAAAGAACAGAGAAAAAGAAAAGCGAAAAAAACCCTGTGAAACCCTCCCGTCTTCCTCCTTGTGTCACCCACCATGCTTCTCCCACTCTGCTCCTGTTCCTCCGCCTCATCATCGCCGATGCCCGGGGGAAGACCATCACGCTAATCCGCTTTTAGTCCAATGCAGCCCGACTCTCTGCCCAGTCTCCTGTCTGTTCTGTAGTGTTCTCTTCCAGGGCAACTCATCATCAATCCAATCAGTTTCAGTTTCTTGACATTCATGCTCCTTAATTATCCTATTTGGAGTCACAAATGTGGCCGGCGACCAGGGGAGTGGCTGTCCTAAACTGATGAGTTGCTCTGGTTGATGTTGCCCGATTTCCCGCTCTGTGTTGCTAGCACTTCATTCATGTTGTCATTCCTGGCATGTCCATCTTTAGAATATCAAGTTCAGTATTATGGGTTACAATTCAAAAGAGAGGGCAGCAAAATATCAGTTCTTTAGTTGAAAAAATAATGCTGTGCTAAAAGTGTCGGAATTTGCTGTCTGAAGAAGCTGCCGCAGCATCCACACTAATGTTCTTGTTCTTTGCCCATAATAGCACCTGAATTAAGACAAAGTTGCCGTGTAAAGGGTGCTGAAGTTTTGATCCGGCGTGTTTTGCCGTAATCTTCGGAGCCTGCATTGTGACACGTCTCCATGAAGAATCTATAAGGAATGTGTTGGCCACAAAACAATGCAGGAAATGGCAGCATTTTGACCCCTATCTGCAGTGATGGCACGATGGCGATCAAATCTGTTGCATAGTACCTGTGATTATATTCAGCTCTGCTGTCATGATTTGTTTTTCTTTTGGACCCAGTAACATTTCTGTCACACTTTGAGCACAGTTTGCATCGATGCTTCATTTTAATGCAAAGACCACAGTGGCACACTGTGATTGAGGCTCCTTTTTAAAACACCTTTTAAAGAACGTTGCTAATGCTGTGAACTCAAACCACTCTTCATAGGTTCTTCATGTTCTGTTTCACAGCATCAGATGCCCAATATGGCCCTTGCATTGTGCCTCTTTCTGTAACATAAAGGTAACTGATGCAATAACTCCTGAGGATGAATCCACCATGTGATCAATATTCTCGCTGATAAATTTGAGAAATGTTCAGCGAGTCAGGCGCTACTGTTTTGGAATGTGAATGCCACATGGACCGAGTCTTGTTAGAATCAATCTTTCTGGTCCATACATGCTCGCAAGTAGACCTTTGTTTCTATGCCGATATGAGGGGTAACAACCACCATACCCACTACTTTGGCTGACTGGAAGTGATGCGCCGCAACACCCTCTCACCTCTCTCCATTTCATCCCACTGCATCGCCTCAGCCTCTGCTGTCCTCACGACAGCTGAAGACATCTATGAACTTCTGCTGACATAGATGCTCGTGTGTGTGTGTGTGTGTGTGTGTGTGTGTGCGCAGTTGTAAGATTTCTCTTGCATACTTGAGTTGAAAGTGTTTGCACAAACATACGACGTGTGTGTAGACAGTTATTGATTCCTTGTCAGCGCGCCATGTAGCAGTTGTGCTGGGTGGAATCTGTAAATATGTTTTTGATGTTCCCTCAACAGTTTTAGGACCAATTGTGTGTCCCCTCTTGTCTATGCAGGAGTCTCTGTGACATCAAGCAACACAGGGGTACCAGATATTTCAGGGTCTGTTTACACAAAGACGCAGGTAATTACAGCTCATCAATATTTCAAGCACTCTCCCACAGGAGGTCCCTGTCCCTCCTGTCCCCCCTCCCCCCTCGCTGCTTGAATTGAGCAAAAATCTCTCGTCTTTGTCGCTTCGTCCAGCAGTCGTTTGAGAAGCAGGGTTTCCATGCTGGCACACCCGCAGCTCCGTTCAGCCTGCCCTCAGCTCTGGGCAGCGGGGGACCCATCAACCCCCCGGCTGCTGCTGCCTACGCCCCAGCCCCCTTCATGCACATCCTGGCACCGCACCAGCAACCCCACTCTCAGATCCTGCACCACCACCTGCAGCAGGACGGACAGGTAGCGCACATTGTTGTATATCTCCACCTGTCTGTGTGAGTTCCCTGGAGCCCATCGTTGCGAAATGATATTGCTTAAATCATTCTGAGAAAACCAGGCTAATTTGCTCTTTTTTTTGATAGTTCACGATCCTTAAAGGCACTTGAATGTTGTTTAGCTTTTGAAATAATGAGAAAATCTCATCCGTTACGAAACACTGTGGTTTGCCTGTTTCGCTTTGTGCGCCGTGCTCAGACAGATGCAGACTGGCAGGCCGCCTCGGTCCAATAATTAAAAGACATCATTTTGATTGACCAAAGGATCTTTAAGTCTTAAACAATGTGTGCGTGTAAACAACAAAGGTGATTTTGAGCATATGATTGTCCATTCAAACTCCTGTAATCCCATAATATAATTATCCTTTGCAGATAAATCATGTGAGCGTATATAAATTCAACCGAGTCACTAATTTACACAATGTCAGTGTAAAAACATGAAGAGAAAGCTCAAGGATGTCCTCTGTCTTCTCCCAGAGCGGCACTGGACAGCGGAGCCAGAACGCCTCCATTCAACAGAAGTCCCAAATCAACAAGCCGGCATACAACAGCTACAACTGGGGAGCAAACTAACATCAACCCCCCCGCCCCTCCCTCCCCATGCTGTTGACAGACGGTCGCTGGGGGCTCATCACTTCTTCCGCAAACAGCCTCCACATGTAAACTCCCTTTGGCCCCCTGCAGAGACCCCCCCCCCTCCCTCCCTCAGTCTCTTGGCCCAGCACTCCTGCAGCTCTGAGGGCGATTCTGTGCTGTACCGAGAGAACCGGCACTGTAGTGATGCATGGTGGGAAGGGCGGGACGAAGGGGCTTAGAACATCAAAATCTGAGCTAAATGGTTATAGAAATACACCATTAAGAGGTGAAATATTGAGTGTTGGGAATTTGTATTGTTAATGCTTCAGCCTCACCCCTTTTCTTTGACTTGTATGTAACATAGAACTGTTTTCTAAAAGAATGAACACCTCCTGTATAGTTCTTTTTTTTTTTTTTTTTTTTTTTTTTTTTTTGGTCCTCCCCATTTCTTTTTTTTGTGCTGATGGGGAGGAATGAAGTAATATCTAAAGGTGGGGGAGCAGGCTAGTTTTATATTTCCCACCCTCAACTCCCCACTCCTTCCTTTTTTTTTGGTGGAATACAAAATACCCAAATGCATAAATTAGCTTAATTGCTCTCGAATGGTTGTTTTTTTATTTTAATGTAATTTTAATTTTGAAGAAACAATTCCCTAAATTGGTAGAGTTGTGAAGTTTATTTTTTACCAAATCTAGATATATTATATATAAAGGAATATAAGCAAGCTCACTGGCTTGGACTGTGAGGAAAGTGTGTTTGTCATGTGACTGCGTGCATGTTTGTACACACGGGGGCTGTGGTTGTGTACTGTGCTGTTTTTTTGTTTTTTTTTCCCTAGCACAGAATTTTTCATTATCCACCACTGTACAGTAACTGTTCCCATGAAATATAAATATGTTGCATAAAGGCCCCACCTATTCTGCAAGTGATGTTGAATGATTTCAAAGGCCAATACACACCCAATCTGCCTTCCAGTGTGTTATATTGTTTTGGTTTTTTTAGGACCCCCCCCCCCGCCCCCACCACCTCTCTGCTCCACCACCTGTCACCCATTTAAAGGAAACTTGCAGCGTTGAATAATGATGGACAAAATTGTACTTTTTTTTTTTTTTTTTTTGTCAGTGATTTATTTTTTCTTTTTGTACTGTGCGTTTTAAAAACAATTTAAATGGATAAACTTGTCTTGTACATATAAAAAAAAAACAAGTACTGTAGTCACTGTTTGTTTGATGGCTTTCTTCTTTCCCACAGACTTGTTTAGCTTTTTGTTTCATGTATTTTTATTTTGTAAAAATATATAAATATTAGGTAAATAAACTAGAAAGACGTTTTTCATAATTTTGGATGTGAATGTCTTCTAAGAAACGACTTGTTTCTAATGTGGCTTGACCTTAATTATGACTGTTTGCAACAATGATTTTACTGATGCTCCATCAGCTCCATTAAGTGTTTGACCTAAATGGAACTATGGCGGTCAGCAATGCACTCGTGCAGAACGTGTTGGCGACAAGATTCCGATGCCTTCTGCCCCCAACAGGTGAACCGCTTGATCTCTAGCTAAATATCTAGATTGCCACCTAAATTCCACTTAATCTCCCGTCCATTCATGCTTTCTCTCTCAAATGTATTTCTTCACATTCTAGTCAGTCAACACACAGCCATGTTTGTCTAGTTTTTCTAAGGCTTTTGTCAAGTAATTTTACTGTACTGAAGTATTTCTATTTTTATATCTTGACCCCACTATGGTTCAGACTGGGGCGTTTTACTTTGTTTACCTGATAAATCTAGTACACTTAAACCACACTGATTTTATCTGGGTATTTTTCTGTTCATTCCCCACTACAAATAAACTTCAGGACATGGACTGTCTTTTGGGTTTTTAACATCCCGTCGGCAGAACGTCAACGTTCCAGACTACCTCTGTTTTGAGAAAAAATAACTCCGTTAAACGCTTGTAAGTAAAATGCTTAAACATTTCATCATTTATTTCACAAGCAAACTCATAAAATAGAAATTTTACGTTTGCAATATAAAATACTTCGAGAACCACTTGTAAATTTCAAATAAAGTAAGACCGTTAAACATTTTACCAAGTGTCATCGGCAAAATGCATTAGTGAACGAAGCTTCTCTGCTAAGTTGGTAGTTACGCTGGATAGCAGTTGATGACGGATCATATCTTGTATTTTATAAGGTAAGTCAATCAAACCATACAAATGTAAATTAAACTTTATAATTCCATCCCAATTTGAATTGTTCAAGTCCTCCACGGCCTCTGTTTCAACATTAAACCTTTTTAGCTGCTGCTAAGCAAGAGAACGAGGTTATTTCTCCTGCGCGTTTGTCGGGTCCTTTACGGTAACGGCGCTTTACGACGGATTGCGTAATGCGGAAGGATCTGGAACCCTTTACGACACTGTTGACAACTGAAGCGTCCTCCGCCGAGTGTCGGCCGTTTATGTTTAAGTTATGACTTAGTTTTTCCTACAGAAAAGCGTCGTTAAATGAACGTTTTCGATTTGTTTCGTGGATTCTTCGCGGTACCCGGAGGTCGTCATCATGGCCAAAGGTGAGTTCGTGGAGGTGCTAACGATGACAGCCCGTTTACAGCTAACTTTACCTGCGCTGCAGGGCTCGACAGGTAACCAATCAGCTTACGATACGTCACTAGATTAGCGGCCCGAATGACCACAGGGGTCCCTCGGCTGACACAGCTGCTGTTTTTTTAGGCCAAGGTCGAGACTAATACGATTGACTATTTCAAGGTATATTAAGGTTACCTGTTGGCCGAGGCTTAACGAGCCCAAAGCACCACAGCATTTAACGTGAAACGCATCTGTTTTGCTTGCTGCAATGTGTCAGGGACCCCTTCTTCGATGCAATGACTCATGATGAAGATGAAGACGACGATGAGGAAGATGGATTCTCCTGTGATGAGTTCCGCGGGGAACAGCAGGACCCTTTTGACCGCGCCTTGAGGTTTGGCTTCAGCATTGGCCCCGATGGGATGAGGATGCAGGAGCCGCCAGTGTTTGGCCAAGTCCTCCGGGACATGGAGGAGATCTTCTCCCAGCTGGGCCGCTGGGATGGACCGCCACAGTCCGGACACTGGGGTACAAACGCTGTGCAGTCCTTAACATCTCCAGTCTATTGCAATGCTCTGTTGTAGATTGAGCCTCTGTCCCCCCCTTTTGTTGCAGATGTTCCCACCATCGGGCCCCCACCACCACCACCTCAGGGCCGAGCAGAGAGGGGTGGATGGGGATCCGGTGCGAACCCCCTCAGGGACTTTATGCTCAAGTCTCCTTACGACAACCCACAAGGACCCCAGGCGGCGCCATCCAGGGAGCCCGGAAGTGATCGCCACCCATCTTATGAGTCACCAGACTTCCCCAGCTCGCAATTCCGTGGCTGGAGCCCCTTTTCAAAGGTTCCAAAGATCTCTTATTAAAGCCTATATTTGATAGAGTTTTTGTTTCTGTGGTAATATGATGACGACGACGATGTTGCTCGTTGACTCCAGCGTTAACTTTCTCATGTCACCTAAAAGTTTAATGACATCCGGAAACGAGGGCCTCAAACATCCTCTGAGGATGAGCGCAAAGAAGACCGAGGTGGGTGATGTATTTAATCCATCCATCAAACCAATGAAGTGTACACTACTGTGCGCGGTGTCCCAACCGTTTGCCCGTCCCTATCCAGATCTGGACTCGGCAGTGTCCTCTCGGGGCCTGGATCAGATTCTGACTCCACCTGCTGGTCAGCACCCGAACCAACCCAGAGCCCGCTCCTTCTTCCAGTCAGTCGTAGTCACCAAGGTGTTGAAACCTGACGGGGTGAGCAAAGCGGTTTATCGCAATCTTACTATTATTTATATACCAATGTACCCTCACAGCATATGTTCAAGTTGTCCCCTTAGTTGCGATTCACGCCAGGGGAAAACACCCCAAACGCAATTACCAGCTATCAACTATCTGCCTCGTTGGTTTGAATCCTCTCTCGTGTTTCCACCCAGCTGGATTTGTTGGTTTTGTCTTTTTTCACTGTTCTGATGTCTCTCAGTCTGTGGAGGAGCGGCGAACAGTTAGAGACAGCAAAGGCAATGAAGAGACCACGGTGACCCGCTCAGGAGGTTCTGGTGCTCAAGAGGCGCTGGACCGCCACAACGCGCCTGCCGTGTCAGGTCAGTCCAGAAGTTTTTTTTTGGGGGGGGGGGATCTTAATGATTTAATTGTACAGGTTTTCAGAATATTTTTGGCATAAGTAGCTACATCTAGCTCTAATTCCCTCTTTTTTTAAATTTTCAGGTGATCAAAATCCCTTCTCAGACATGCGGGATGATGGCTCCTTGTTCTCTAAGTTCTTTGGAGGGTTTAGATAACGTAATGCAGAACGGAGGACTGGTGGACCACAGCTTTTGTGCCCTGGAAACATTTCAGTCAATGAGTGATTTCCCCCAAAGCGGTGTGATTTTGCATATGTATAGATTATATCTGTATATGAACAGAACACTTCCACGACCTTCTTTTGCCAAAATGAGCGTGTTTGATGGATTCTGAACGTGTGGCCTGTTTAACGTCGCGCAGGCTGGAGGTCACCGGTCACACAAACTGGCAGTAAACCATTCACAATTACATATTTTGTTTTGAAAATTGTCCTGTTGTAGCTTAAGCGTATGTCAAATAATCGTAATATATTCACGCAGTTTTCATTTGCCTGTTTTACGTTTAGTCAAGTTCGGGAACCCAGTTAAAAATAAGACCGTAACTTGTAAACCAGCTCTGGTCTGATTGGACGATCCGGAGTGCAGGTTGAGGGACATTCATGCGGGTCACAATCCCCCCAAGCGATGAATTTGTGTGCTTCCGATGCAGAAAGAATTTTGACTTATTTTCGATGAAAATGAAGTAATAAAAGCTCTTTCATGTGTGATATATCAAAAGGTGTCATCGCTCTTCTGTTGAGGTGAATCTGAGTGCAGATCGGGGGAGTTTTCCTTTGATAAAGGGCACAACACTCCACTTCAGAGGGAACTATTCTATTGAACTGCTTCATAGAACATTCAGAAGACTGGAAGTGTGGTGCTCGCTCTGGTGTCCTCGCTGGTAGCACTTCTGTTGACACCAGAAGCTTTGAAATCTCTATGCAGGGTGAGTACCGTGTGCAGCATAATCATTGAGTAATTTACTTCGTTTCCCCTTCGTTAACATTTGATATGATGCATCCTGTGGAGAAATACCCTTTAAATAAAGCGTGTTTGCTCTATTATCATCAGGGAAGTGATTATTCTGATTAGAAATTACAGTGATGACTTTACAAGCACATGGTGCAAGCGATGGCCGTTATCTTTATTATTCCCCTGGTAATTCATACAGAGCCTTGTTACGCATCAATACAAGTTCATTGGAAGCAGGCGTCTTGTTTTTAGATGAAATGTAACAACAATCAACCGAGAGGGAACAATCCGGTGCGATTCCTGTCAGGTGAGCACCCGGCCGACCTTTGCCGAGTGAGCCGGGGTCGCTCCGGTTCGCAGGCGTCCAGCTCTGTGCGCTGGAGGACTTTTCGACCATGTCAGACAAGAAGATGTCCAACGAAGTGAGCGACACTCCGCCCCCCCCCCCCCCCCCCCTCCCGCTCACATGTACACCATCGCCTTTGCCATAAAGTGTGTGACGTGGCCAATGCGGCTCCACCATTTGAAAGGGCAAACTCTGCTCAAGTCCGACGTTGCGGTTCCACGCGGGTCAGATTCTCCTGGAAACCTGTGGGATGGAGAGGCTGCTGAGGAAATGTCGGATCAGAAGCCAACTGGTGAGGGAGTGCATGGCCGAATGCCTCGGCGTCTACGTCCTGATTGTGAGTACCGTTCTATGGATCTAGACTTCAGGCGGTTGCAGGAGACACGTTGGTACATGTGTGACGCATCGCTTGTGCATCTTTTGCATGAGCTGTGATAACAATTAATTTCTTCTCAGAATTCTCACCTGATCAACGACATCAAGTATTTAATATTGTTGTTCAAAGCAGTGTCTTGCTTACTCGCTTGTTTTGAAGCAGATCGTGAATCCACACAATGTATAACTGAGGACTTTGGCCTGAGGGAGAGAGGGAGAGAGAGACAAGGGGGGAGCCGGTGGGGATGGGGGAGGACGGGGGAGGATAAAGCGCGTGGGTGGTAGAATCAGGGATTTGGAATGAAGCTGTGCTGTTTGTCTCAAGGGGCAATAAGTGTTTTACAAATCATAAAGCAGGTTCTTTAGCACTGAAGTTTATAAAATATCTGAACGGAGATCACACGCAGATAAGATAAGGAGCGTCTGGGCCAGACCTCCTGGACTGGAGCCAGTTTTAAGTCTCAGTATCTAAATCACAGCTTTATCACCACTGACATACTTGAGCTTCCAAATGCACTGTGGAGCCCTTTAATGTTCTCTCCAAGAAAACCCCAATGAACAATCCATTCTTTGCATTTCTCTTTTTGAGGGTATTAAACTAAAAAAGTAAACAGTTATTAGAATACAAGCCTCCACCAAATGGTGATGTCACTTAAGGGAGGAATTACACATTAATACCAAAACAGTGGAATGAGTCAAATAAAATGCTAAATGAATGAAGTAATATTATTTTAGCATTTAAATGATGATGCACAATTACAGCTATCATCTTTACAACAATGAATAGTTATGTTTTTGTTTCCTAATAAATATTGAGTTTAATTTACAGTAACTTAACTTTATCACAGTGACAATTCGTGACTAAGCACATTTTTAAGAAATTATTTTACATGAGATATTTGTCTTGCTAACTTCCCGTTGAAGACACAGTGATGTGTAGATGATTCCTTTGCAATAACATGGCTTGGTTAAGTGGCAGAGATCAATCAAGTTAAGTTAAATACGTTTTTCACACAGATTGCATGTAGTTGTTTTCTTTTCTTCTGCTCAGGTTGAATTCTATTCTTCTCATCTCTCTTTTATCCCGTGTAATTTCAGCTGTTTGGATGTGGCTCCGTTGCCCAGGTGACCACGACTGAAGATAAGAAGGGACAGTACCTGTCAATCAATCTGGGTTTCGCCATGGGAGTAACTTTTGGGGTCTTTGTGTCTCGTGGAGTCTCCGATAAAGATTACTCTCTCTTTGAACACCTGGCAACCCTCCCGATAGAGCCAGGAGTGGATAAGTTTTTTCATTTAACCCAGCAGAGAATCAAACGCTTGGGAGGGAGATTTGTTCCGAACCCCGGGCGCAGAGAAGCAGAACCTGCTTCTCCATTTTTGGGGTCTGAAAGGTGAAGGAAAGCGGCCCGTCCCAGATGACTTGATGGGGAATGAAGGGGGGAGGTGTGATAGAGGGGGGGGGGTGTGCGCTTTATTAACCAGCAGGAGGATGTTGAAGTTAATGGACCGGAATTGATTATTCATTCTGCAGATCAAAGCATCTTGGCTGATAAGTGTGCTTGCTCAGCTGTTTTTTAAGCCATTCTCATTTCCAGTAGACAGTTTTTTCACAAGGAAATGTTTTCAAACCATAAGGTGCCCATCTGAACCCTGCAGTCACACTGAGCCTGTGTGTTTTGGGGAGACATCCCTGGATGAAGCTTCCTTTCTACGCGTTCTTCCAAGCACTCGGAGCCTTTCTGGCTGCAGCCACCGTCGGCCTTCAGTACTACGGTGAGTTTTAACAGTGACTACTGCAATCACGCTCAAGACGAGACGAACATACAATACTCAAATGAAGTCTGAATAGGTAGAGGGTGAAAGTTTTAAGTTAAAAGAAAATAAATCGGTGAATTTTTGGTGGAAAAAAAACACCAAATCCTCAATATGGTCAATGCAATACTGCATTTAGAACAGACGTATTGGATGCTGCAGGGAAAAGTGGTCACAATCATTGTTTGATTATCAAAACAATTGTCAAAATCAACTTTAGTTATTTTAGTCTTTAGCAAACATTACCTGGGAGGGACTATTTCCATCTGTGGAGTAAAAAACATTCTGGCATTCGTGTTGCTTAATGTTGTGTTTTAAACAATAGAGGACTATGCAGATGACGCTTACAACCACTTGTTTGTTATTTTTGTGCTTTTCATGATTCTTGTTGACGCCAACAATATAGAATATATTAAAGCATTCTAAGGGCGCCCGTGTTTCTGTATGTATGACGAGGTGCTTGCAGACGCCATCAGGGTTTACGGCGGAGGCGAGCTGACGGTTACGGGCCCCACTGCCACAGCGGGCATATTCGCCACCTACCCAGCTGACTACCTCAGTGTGTGGGGAGGAGTCGTGGACCAGGTGAGACGTCGTCCCTTTGCGATCGTCACCCTAAATTGGGACGTTTAAATCTTGTCCAGGCAAAAGATCAGTTCGATACGTTACCAACTCCATATGCCTGCAGGTGATTGGCACGGCGGCACTGCTGCTGTGTGTCCTGGCTCTTGGAGACCAGAAGAACAGCCCCGTCCCTGATGGTCTTCAGCCCGTACTGGTGGGAGCGGCCGTGCTGGTCATTGGCATCTCGATGGGCTCCAACAGCGGCTACGCCCTCAACCCCGCCAGGGATTTTGGACCTCGACTGTTCACGTACATCGCTGGCTGGGGAGTGGAGGTTTTCGAGTTAGTAGTTTGACTTCTGTTTTGAGACATTCACATATTTTGAGGTAAAATGTCGAGGGTCCCCTGTAGGTACGTCCATTCCACCTTCCCCTCTTTTAAATTTGTAGCATTTTAGCCCGGTTTCCCTCAATCTGGGATGACGTGTTGGGTACCCGTGCGTGTCTGAGGTTGCCTCCTTTTAAAATGCAGATAAAAATTGTCTGTCAGGATCACTGGAAAGCCTGACTGCTTTCAACCCGTTGCAGGGCTGGAGGTGGCTGGTGGTGGGTGCCCATAGTGGCTCCCTGCGGCGGGGCGCTGCTGGGAACTCTGATCTACGAGCTGATGATTGAAGTCCACCATCCCCTCCGTCTAGCCGAAGAACAGATGCCACGTCAGGAGCCCACTGAGGGCAAGATGGGACTGGAGCTGGAGGAAGACTGTGAAAAATCCACTTAGTGGTAAAAGGAAGATGTGTCAAAGACGACGAACTGTTGAATTAACAGTAAATGGTACTTAAGGGCTTCTACCTATTGAAGCTGTCTGCATACGTGTTTACTGATTAACAAGCAGTTCTCACAATGTGACGTTTAGGTGGAAGGGAGGCAGAACCTGCGAACACAACCCTCCACTCTGCAGATGAACTGGATGCATGAGTCAATCTTCTCTTTTACACATTTATTTTGAAAACAGCACAAAAGTGTATGGCATTTAAGCAAGCAGACCACAACCATGGAAAGAAAATGACATGAAATTTCCACTATTGAACTCTATAAATATGATACAATGACATATAAAAGATACAAACAAATAAATCCACTCTTAGGCCTCCATCATGTGACCATGAAGAATGTTTTGGAAACGTACAAAAGAAACGTGAGTACAGCAAGCACTGAATCTGTAGATAAAAAAAAATAATAACCGTCTCAAAGAGATAAATGTTTGTAAGACAACATTAAGACAACACAACCTCCCGTATCTCCCTCTGCTTTGTAATTACAACGTATAGCTACCTCTGGGAGGGACTTCTTTTAAATCGTTTGGAGAAAAAAAAAAAAAAAAAGGAACAGTACAAGTACAAATACTATACGTATTCACATTATCATAGCAAGTTACTAAAACCAGAAGGCTTTCTTTTAGTGTAATATGTATTTACATGGCAAAACATACACATACTACTGGCAGGAAGCCTGGCCTCTCTTCTTCTAGCTTAACGATTAACAACACACACTGTTCACACTACACCGGTTACGGATCTCCAGTAACCTCGTCTCCAAATGCCATCAGAGACCCATCTCACGTCTCATGGATGCAACCGACTCACACAAATACCAACAGCAGTCATGTGTTTCGTAATAAATAAATATTCTAGCAACATAAAAATCAGTGTTAGATTGTCCCAAACCTCCGCGTCAGAGGTCTTGAGATCAGTTTTAAAAGTTGTCGGAGCTGTTAAAACCCATCTCACGCCGGAGGAAATGACCACGGACTTGAGCGAATGAGTGTGAATACCACAAACGATGGGTCAGGTACAAAAATATCGGCACTACAGTGCGAGATGTACGTATTTAAGTGCGTTCCGGGGAAAAATCAAACCGGTGTCTACAGTCAGTGCAGAGTGATCGAGATGGGAGGACGAGACGTATCGAACCTGGTACGGCTGATATATAAATGCTTTACTCGGTGGGGTGGGGGTGGGGGGGCTGTCCGAGAGTCACAGTTCAGTTAAGTGACCAGCAAGCTTGATCAAACATGCAGTTACAATCGCACGGAACAGGTGCTGTAGATTAGCGAAAAGGACGTTTATGGTGGCTAAAAAAGAAAAAAAACTGCGCAGGAAGTTTCATCTCAGGATCGACATTCATATTCTCCCACCCCACCTCCTCGCTGGGGGTCAGTGTCCGTCTCGGATGACCCCGCCCCCTCCCTACTGGGGCTTGTCCGTCTTGTGTGCGGTGAGGAAGGCCATGCCGTGGGTCCTGAAGTGGGTGTTGAGGTCCGAGGCCTTGTCGAAACGCCGGCCGCACACCTTGCAGATCAGATTCCCGTCCCCGTCCTCGCCCAGCGCCTGAGGGGAGCCGTTGGGTGACCCGCCGGGGGAGCCACCGCCGCGCGTTGGGCCGCGGTCCGCCTCGCCGTGGGTGTCCCGCACGCGGTGGGTGATGAACCGGTGCCTGCTGAGGGAGCCGGCTGACGCGAAGCAGACGCCGCACTGCAGGCACTGGAAGGAGGCGGTGTCGGCCCGGTGCTGGGGGATGTGCCGCTGGAACTCGGCCCCGTCCTCGGTGGAGAAGCCGCAGGGGACGCAACGGAAAATGTTGTCTTCCTCCTCCGGCTCGTTGGGTGCGGTCGCAGCCGACCCCCTGGTTCTCTTTGCGGGGCCCGGGGCGCCTTCCTCGCCCTCTTCGGTGGCATTCTCTTCCTCGTCTCCCGCCTTGGCCCCGGGAGGGCCGCCCTCGCCGTCCTGTTCTGAGGAGCTGCCTGGTCCTTCTCCCCCTGTGGCCGCTCGCTTCCTGGTCATGGGTCTTTCCTGATTAAGCGAAAAGGTAGAGGGAGACTAAACGTACATAGTACAGCTTGACTGCATAAGTAAATGACGCCACGTGTGTGTTGTAGTGTGGAATTGGGACACAGCTTTAGCTTATCAGACATGACAAACTAACTATTTAGTCTCACCTGTCCGTCGGTGGTTCTGTGATGGAGCCGAATATGCTTGTCCAGTAAGAACCGACTTCCAAAGGTGCGTTTTCCTTCAGTGCAATATCTGAAACACAGTCACGCAGGTTAAATCTTCTTAAGGAAATCAATAGGGCTGATTGGTTTTTAATTAACAAGGTAAAATAAACCTCTCCGTACTCAATTATGTGACATTGGAAGTTAAGAGTTTATTCAGAAACAATCTATCGTTACTTGTCAGCCAACATATATATCAGACTGATATAACTGCAGTGTATATATATATTATATATATATATATATTATATATATAACATGGTATAGCAAGCAGGGATTTTTCTCTTTTCTAGCAAAACCTTCAACATGAGGAAACAGTGTTAGTTTGTGTCAAATCTTTGAAAGCTTTAAAGTAACTCACTGGCAATGGAAGACTCTTTTGTTGCCCTCGTGAATGACGCGCTCGTGACGTCTCAGGCTGGAAGACGTGCTGAACGTGCCTCCACAAATACGGCAAGGAAACTGACGACAAGCACAAGGGGATAGAGATAAGATGCTGGTGCACCACCTTTAATCACTGGGCTCAACCCAACGGGGTCTGTGGGTGATGTAGCGTGCCCCACCTTGCCGTGCTCCGTCCTCACGTGACTTAGATAGTCTTCGTTGTCGGTGAAGGTGGACTGACACTGTGGACAGGTCCACTCCGTCTGCGCGGGGGGTTGACTGCTGCCGCCCGTGGCCGAGTGACCCCCCGGAGCCCCGTAGTCCCCGTCGGCATCGTCCTCGTCTTCGTCCTCCTCCTCGTCCTCCTCCTCCCGTTCCCGCCCCCAGTCCTCCCCGTCGGAGTTGTCAGGTTTCCCAGAGGGTTTGGATTTGGGGCCGGAGGGGCCCGACGTGTTGGTTGGCGCCGAGGCGGGGTTGGAGGCATCGGGCGGAGCCTCCGTCTGTTTGGCTGACGGTCCTCTGTGAGCCGTCTGAGAGGGGGGGACAGTTAATGGGGGGACACAAATGGAGAGTCAAACGAGAAAGAAAAAAAACAGTACTGTTGATGTTATAGAGTTTAAGGCAAATCCGAGAACAAGCTGCACGCCTTGGTTGACACCACATTCACTGTGGAATGCGCAGAAGGATAATTCACAATTTGCAATGACAATATACAAAACTTAAATTTGTACTGATTCACTACTACTGTGAAAATATGAACACACCTTAATATGCTCCATCATTGATCCTTTCTGGGCGTAGAGCTTGGTGCAGTCAGGACACTTGAACACGTGCACTTTTTGCTTTGCTAAATGAGTGTCAAAGTGCATGTACAGCAAGGGCTTTTGGGTAAAAACCGTATCACACATCACACACTTGTAGATCATTCTGCAAAAGGACCAAAACAAATACAGGTATTTTAGGGGATTCATTTCCAATTGCGTGAGCATCATTTTCAGACATCCTCTAAAGATGATTTTCTCATCGGATACGTACTTGGCCTGCCCTCCAGTGAGTGTCGGGTGCTGGGTGCTGATGTGGCTCTGGGCGCTGGGGGAAGACTTGAAGGCCATGGGGCAGCTGGGGCACTTGTGGAAGACCTCGCAGTGAGCCGTCTGAATGTGCGACTTGATGGAGTTCAACCCCCCAAACACGACCTGGCAGCTGGAGCACCTGTACAAGAGTATTGTTGTATTATGGCTGCAGTGCAGCACCAACCTGTTTAATCTGTATCAGATGTGCACGCCCTGAAACGTCCACATCAGAAAACATCTCAAATTACACCAGGCGCTGCAGAAAGATCATTGGCAAAATGCAAAGTAAGTCAATTCAAAGGAAAACCTCCCTTCTGTTGCACAAAAAAAAGCCTGCTGTCATAAACTTTTGGAGCTTCAGCAGTAAAACCAATTACTGACCCTACATCGGACCATATTTTCTCAGCTCTAGAACAGCGGTTGAATCATTTGGAGATCTGTGATTGATTGTTTTCTAAATTTTGAAAATATATGAACACTAACCAGCATTCAAGCTCGCCCCAAAGATTTAACATTTTCCTCAAATTGCCACGGATAAGCCATTATTCAGCGTTTGTTACAGTCTTACTGATGGTTTTGGGGAAATGTCTCCACACCTGTATCCAATGCGCCGCGCAAAGTGCAGACATGCCTCCTCCAGGTGGGTCTGGAAGCTGGCCTGCTTTGCAGTCCCCCCACACTCGGGACACACATGGGGCGCCCTGTGCTTGTGGACTCTCTGGTGGGCCGACACGGCGCACGAGTTGGGCAGCATCATGGGAGGTGAGCATTGTGTGCATGTCTGAAACGGAAGAAAATTAAATATCAAATAATTGATCACCAGCATTTCCCAGCAGCATCAATTCAGCAGCATCAATCAAACAGTCTCACGGAGTTTGGAGCAGCTCTGATCTGCTGGAAGTGGGTGACCAGCTCGGCCTTGCTGGAGAATTGCGATTGGCACTCTGGACATTTAAAGCCGTTGTACTGCAGCCCCTCGGCCTTCTTGCACGGGAGGGGCATAAGTGCTTGGGGGCCTTGGGGTGCGCGGCGGACCGGGCGAGGCTGAGCCGTGGCTGGAGATGAGGCCTCCTTCATTGGGGAGGAGGCGGCAGAGACGGCGGTGCCCCCAGACGTGGTGGAAGGAGATGAGACTGGGGGGAGAGGAGGCAGAGGAAGTGAGCAGGCCTGGTCGGTTGAAATTGGAGCAGACGGATGCGGTAAATGGAGATGGGATTTAACGTTATAATACTTATTATTATAATTATAAGTTATTGCTGTGGTTCTTTCATGACTACACAAATAGAATCAAAAAACTCTAAAATGTTAAAAATGAATGAGAGAAAATTTGATCGCTTGCTTCCCACTTTTTAAACAAAAATGCCAAATCCTCTGGTTTCTGTTTTTTTTTTTAACACTTGCATATTATATTAAGCCTGTATCTTTTCAGGTCTAATCTATGATAGTAAATTGAATTCATTTTAGCTTTTCGACCAACAAACAGTTTGGGCAATTAATTTAAAATAAAATAAAATCAAAATTAAGAATATAACACTTTCCATTCAATCTTATGAGTTTTTCACTTTTAGATGGACAAAACAAGCCATTTTCAGAATGTTAAATTAAACTTAAATTCATGTTATTTTCAAACAGAAATCATTCGATCAATCGTATACTTAAAACAAAACGGCAGTCAAAATAACGGTACGCTGCGATCTCTCTCTTACCACCAATGGGTGTTATATCCTGCTGTCCGATCATCTGCTCTACCGTGACGGGCCTCATGACCAGGTGCGAGCACTGCATGACCAGCCCGCGCTCCTTGTGCTCCCTGGCGTGCAGCAGCAGGCTGCACTTATTGAAGAAAGCCAGCCTCTTCGCACAGTGGTTGCAGGTGACCTCGATGCGGAGCGATCGCCTGTCATAGTGTCGAGCCAGGCTGCGCTCCAGGGCGAAGGCGTCGCCGCACTCCAGGCAGCGGTACCCGGTGGCCGGGAGAGGGAGACCCCACTCGGGTGGCGGAGGTGCGGAGAGGTCAGGCTTGTAGCTCGGTAAAAGGTTCTTGCTGTTCAGGATCTTGTTAAAAGCCTCCACCAGGCTCGACTGACTGCGGGAGATCACGGCCCCTGTGCTGTTGACGATGGAGGCGGGTTTGTTTGGCTGCAGGGTGCCGCCGATGATGGCGCTGCCACCGCCGTTGGCTGTCTTGGCCGCGGACGTACGCACGCTGATGCCGCCGGCCGCAACGGAGAACTTGGGAGACGAAGTCACGGCGGGGGTCGCGGGCAGGGCGGCCGATTTAGTGATGCTGACAGCAGTGGCGGAGACCTTGGCCTTGTCGGATGCAGCCATTTTGTTTTGGACCTTGGTGGCGGCAGCTAGCATCACGCTGCTGGCTGCCAGTGTAGACACTGGAAGAGCATTGAGAGCACTTACTTTCTGGGAGGTTGTTGTGACGTGAGCTTGGGAAGCTTCGAGCTTTTGGGCCTTGTTGCCCACCTTGCGTTCCCCGGTTTTGGGGTCCAGACCTTTACCTGCAGCACCGCCTTTAGGAGCTACCCGGGTGACAGTTCTGGTGATTCCGCCCGTGGAGGTTTTAATCGTTTTTATCCTGACTTTCAGCGGCCGGGCCGGAGCTCCGGAGGCCGCGGGTGCTGCGACGCCTGCTTCTCCTCCGTCAGTGGACAGAGATTTAGGCTTGCCATCATCTACCTCCATCTTCTCCTCACTTGTTCTCCCATTTTCTCCCTTGTCCGCTTTGCCATCGGGGACCTTTTCTATCCCATTACCCACCTCCATCTCTTCCTCTTCCTCTTTGGGCTCCCGCAGTTCAGTATGAGGAGGAGTGGAGGCCAACGCAGGGCTGGAGCACCTCTTTGCTACGGCTTGCGCGGTTGATTTTGGCATCTCTGGTTCAGGACTCTCTGGCGAGTCTCTTTCTTCTATGACATGTTCTGGATGTCTGTCCTCCAGCTGGGGACTGTCTTTTGAGCCGGACTGGGGGGTTGATGAAGTCAGAGATGGCACCGAAGGAGTGTCCCCGGGTTTAGGATGGGACGCGGCCGAAGACGTGGGCTGCCTGGAGTCAGACTTGTAGCGGCGGCTCAGCTGAGGGCACGTCGGCGAGTCCGGGCTCTCTTGGATCACCAGTGGACTCCCCAAGTCAGGGTCAGAATCCTCCTCATCCTGCATCTGTTGGTGCTGAAATACGGTGGGGCCACCTTTGGGGGCGCCGTTAAAAGGCTGTGATGGGTGCAGCGTGTGTGACGTCAGGGCAGAGGGCGGAGTGGGAAACAGAGGCTTGGAAGAGGAAAAGAAAGGCAAGGCCAGTCCGACGGCCCCCCCCGCAGCGAGAGGCGATGACCCGGCTGATAGAGAGGAAGATGAAGGTAATGATGCTTTCACACCGTCTGCCCTCTCTTGACCTGTATCCTGCTGCTGCTGGTGTTGCTGCTGCAGCAGCTGCATCTTCCGGGCCCGGCCCACCGGATCTCCAGACCCCTGCGCCACAAGCGGCTTAAGTCTGTTGAAAATGTTCCCGCCCTGCTTGTGAGACTTTGCTGCGCCAGCAGCCGGTGCTTCTGAAGACACTTTAGTGGCGTTCATTGACCACGGCGCACCGTTGGACTGGGTCTGGCTCAGGGCGAGCGGCGTGGACACACCAGACGCCCCGAAACCGTTGTGGTTAAGAGCCTCAGATTCAGCCATTCCAGGGGCACACGCCCCCAGTCTCGGGCCCACATCTACCCCCGCAATCACATCTATGGGGTCCTGGTCTGCGTCTCCCTCGTCTCCATCCGCAGAATCAAGACAGACTTTATTCTTCACAATCACACTAACAATTGAGGTGTCCGCCTGGGGGTCCGAGGGACTCCCAACGCCCCCCACACCGTCCGGCTTTCCCAGGGATGCACCTGCAGCTCCATGGGGCCCCTCGGCCTCGTCTGGGGCAGACTGGATGGCCTCTTTGGCATCTATGTCAGGAATGTCAAATGCTGCCAGTAGGTCATCAAAATCTGGAGTCTTCATGTCCCCCATACCGGGATTAACTCCTGTGAAACCAAGAATGAACAGACTTAGCAGCAGGAGGCAACAGACGTCATTGACACAATTCTGCCTATGTTGTCCATCAACCCCTGCTCTTCCTAGCTAGCATAAGGATGCATGCTACAAAATCCTCACATGCGATATTAGAATCCGTGAAATGGTTATATTTTCGAGGTAAACTCCGCGCATACAACGTCTTGCATGCACTTTCGTTTGACGCGGATCAACAAGCTACAGCAGGTTGGCTTGGTACCAGGGGGGGAGGTAGTGGAGCTATCGGGGTCCTGCACTAGCATTCGTGTTAGCCAGCTAGCGCGATAGCCGCGGCGTTACTGCAGCCAACCCCTCCTCCGGTAACCGCTCCAGCGCTCGGCTGCATTGAATGGGAGCCGCTTCCCGTGCCGCCCGCAGCCCGTGACAGGCTTTGGAGTCGCGGCCCTTCGACGAACCGACCGGCCGGACGGCGCCTCGGAGCGGCTACTTCGGATATTTGGAGCAAACGACGTTTCTCCCCGGCTGAGGATGGCTAGCTGTGGCCGCTGAGCTCCAGACAAGAGGGGTCATTTAGCTAACTAGCTAGCGTTCGCCATTAAAAAAAAAAAAATGCAGCTGGAGCGATTCGCTGAGGTATGGTGTGACAGCAGTAACAAGCCAGGGGTCGTAGGGTCGACGATGTCACAAAAGAGGATGGTTGGGATGGGGATTTTCGTTTAATATTTCATGTATTTTGATTGTTTACCTGGATATGCGATTCCCGACTATCCTAGCTCGTTTTCAGCTGAAAATGCAGCGCTTCCTGTCACGTGACCTGGGACAACCTATAGGGCTCAGACAGTGTTGGGAAGACGCACGGAGGATGCTGCAAACTACACGTATATTTATTTCTGCTCTTAAGTCACATTAAACACGTCTACAGGTCATTACCGAACGAGTATTAACATCATGCAAAACCGCTAGAAGTTGGGACATCTGGTCTCTTAATATAATGCACCCCTTTGTCATCCAATCCACTCTCAGCGCTGTCAACAATAAGCTGCTTTAGCAACAAAAACACCAAAATGCAACACATATACACAATGATTTTATTGCAAAAACACATACATGACAGGAGTGTGGCTATCTGTTTATGAGCCTGTCATGACAAATTCTTGCTCACCGGAAAGGTCAATTATACCATGTAGACAAAATGTAGGGTAAAGGCAATTTAACAGGAGACCCTGCATCTTAAGCATATTACATTTTAGGATGATATCAATTTATAGTAGAGGGTATTCAGATTTGACACTAAATAGTCATTCAATACTTGAATTGTATTACTGTTATATCAGTACTTTTGAGTGTCTGACAGAAAACAATGGGATTAAATGTCAGAGTGCGGTCTAATACTGGGCTATCAGTCCGACGATGCATCAGCAATATTTTGGTATGTTAAAGTAATCCTGCATTAGTCTGCAATTGTTCGTTTATTTCTTTTCTATCCAATGTTTGAAGACTGTGTCCATCTCGTGTGCCCCTCACTTCTTTTTCTCTTCATCCTTTTTGCCTTCGGGCTTGTTTCCTGTCTGGGAGGCCAGGGAACCCATGGCGTTGCGAATGGCCTCGTTGTTCGGGTCGACACCAGGCAGGTTCTCCAAGACGCTCTGAAGAAACTCCGGGTCTTGCATTACATCATAGTCATCTTCCTCCTATTCAATTACATTAGAGGATACAATCGATTAGGTATTTTGTGGTTACCCAAACTGTCTGCTCATCTTGATTTAAAATATTCTTTAGGTGGGAGAACCCACTGATTCCGATGTATTTTCCCAAATTTTAGCTTATCCATTGATTTTACAATAAAATGTATTATACTGTCCAATATATATATGTTGATTCCACTTACCATTAGCAACACACAAAAAACCCAATTAACATTTTTACACTAAATCCACCTTAGGAGTAATACAGGTTTCTCTGAATACAGACCTTTGACGTTGACCTTTTAAATTAAAGAACCACATATTTTCTAAAACGGTTGCTTATTTGTTCCTACTTATTTGTTCCTACTGATTGATAATTCACTTTTACTTTCAGAACGTTGGAGGCAAGAAAAAACTTGTTCACCCTTTCCACTTCTTGAGGATACAAGTGGGACTGGTGAGCCCCATTTAACAATTATTCCTTTAAAACATGGTTACTCACCTTGGCAGATTCTGCAGTGTCCATGGGGGCTGCTGTGTCCATTTCTCCATACTCTGTTCAAATACAATGGAAAATAACTTCTCTTAGAAGATAACAGCAATTACATTATTGGCCAATACATTACAGCCAGAGGTGTCAAAAGTATTCACATTCATTACTCAAGTAGAAGTACAGATACTAGGATTTAAAAAGACTCCTGTAGAAGTTGTATCGACTCAAGCTTTTTACTTAAGTATAAAAGTACTGGTTTCAAAACTACTTAAAGTATAAAAGTAAAAGTAATGTAAGAAATTCCATTAAGGACAAACTCTTAATGCGTAACCTCGCTCACACAACACGTCAGTCCGTTACAATGTGATCAGAAGGTGCCTTCAGATCACGTAACTTGCCGTTGGGATGGTGGAAACAATAACAACAAATGTATCTGACTTAAACAGATAAAGCCACAACCTATTTTCCAGTGACACGAGTCACACACACGTGGTTCACATGGATTAGGTGGACGGCAGCGTCCCCCCAAGGTTTATTACTTCATGGAGGGGGGGGGGGGGGGGGGGGCACCCCTGTTTATAATGATGGGAAACACTGAACTGGCAGCGGTCGGTTATCAAAACATTGGCCAAATAACCAGTATTTTCAGGCTTGATGAGCAAATACAGAATCCCCGTGCGTTCATTTCTAAAGCCGCATTAAGACACACATCACTTTATTTAATACGCTGCGCTGCTTGCAAGTCGCTGTATTGTGCCAGACTCTCAATAAAAAATTTAGGACAAAGCCACGGTCATGAAGATGCTCATCTAAAGTCACATGTGAGGAAGAGGAGGAGGGTCCATGTCAATAAATACCAACTTTCCAGCGACCACTTTTCCCACCCAGTGTCGCTCCGATCTGCCGGCGCATCGCGGAGAAAACCAATCGGGTGTCTGGACGCTAAATGTTTATACTTCTCATCCAACCACAATCAAATTCACTGTCCGGATAGCGCCATTTATCTAGATGGGTTCTTTTTGTGTTTGTGTTTTTGAACTGCGACAAGCCGGAAGTAACGAGGCTGTTTTTAAAATGTAAGGAGTAGAAAGTACAGATATTTGCGTGAAAATGTAAAGAGTAGAAGTAAAAAGTCGTCTGAAAAATAAATACTCCAGTAAAGTATAGATACCCAAAACTATGGAACTCACCTTCCCCGGCAAGAGACATCTGCATGGCGTAGGCGATCTGCTCCTCTTCCGTCATGCTGCTGAAGTCAGGAAGCACTGGTGCACCACTCTCAGGCTGAGATACAGACATCTTCAGTAAGGCCTCCTCTGACTCTGTGAGAGAAATGTATCAAAACTGTCATTCTATCAAATACTAACAATTATAATGAACAGCCATATTTGTTAGTCCGCCAACTATTACCATCTGCACTGGGTGTGGGCATGCCTGCATCTGCTGCAGAGGCCACAGAAGCTCTGCGGGCCTCCTCTTCCTGCCTCTGTCGCTGCTCCTCCATTGATACACGCAGGGCCTAAAGGAATCCAGAGACAGCACCGTGAGAAATGAAGGAAAGAGGCATCACTTCAAATTCTAAAACTGAACACGTTATTACGACAAGTCAACATGCACTGAAGACTTCAAGGCAGCCATTGATAGTTTTTCACTCTCATTAGAAGAACCACCCTTGCATTGCGCTCATGTCAATACATCTAAGATAACGCTTATGTTAGGTACCATTTTAAAATATTTATCCGGACTAAACACACACACACACACACACACACACATACATATATATATATATATATATCATTGCTTACCAGGGCCAGTTCTGGATCGGCACTGGGATCCACACCAAACTCAAAGTCACTGGCACCCAGACCCATCATAGAGCCTCCTTCACCAGCCAAGATGGGAGAGGAGAGCAGCGCATCAGCGAGACTGGGTCCTGGAGGGACTGTAACCAGGTGGGAACCAGTCCCCTCCTTCCCATTTAAAGTATTTATAAAAGCAGTCAGCTTCTCTGTGTTCAGCTCCTGAATAAACAGTTAGTAGATGGATGATAGGTTAGTTTAAAACTTGATTTAGAAATTGGAATAATCATGCTCTGCCTTATAGCAGCGAAAGGGTAGATAAACTAAGAAGTCCTCACCTCTTCTCCAAAGTTGATAATATCCACATTCACTTTCTCTTTTTTCAAGCGCTTTGCCAGCTTGACAAGCTGCAGAATCGGCAGGTGGAACAGTAGCAGGTTGGGATGGAGAAAGGACACATTGGGAGGGACATGGACAGGGGGAGAATGTGTTAAACAGATGTATAATCAGTAAAAAAATATTTCTGTTATTGGAACAAAATGGTAAACGAAATGGTTTTAAACTCACATCTTTTTCATTATCCTCCACGGGGCTCCCAACAAAGGCAATGATCCTCATCTTGTGGTTTTTCCCTTGTCTGTGTTTTAGAGCCAGCTATGCAAGAAAAACATGACAAAAAAATATATGGCAACTCAAAAACTGCTGCTGCACCAATACAGTCTTAAATAGAATGTAAGAAAATCACTAGGTATAGCCCTTCAAAGCTAAGCAATATTCTAAATGAATAGCTTTTAAAAGTATATAATAGAAATTACAAAATTGAATCTGTACCGTCATTGGCTGTCCTCCGTCTGTCTGTCTACCTGTGCTACAATTTCCTCCTCCTACACATTGCAGGAGTCTTAAACTGCTAACCGGACAGCTGTGAGCACTAACAATCGTTGTGTACACAGTTGCTTGCTGTTTTTTCAAGATTACTGACCTCATCTTTCAGCTTGAAACAAATGCTTAAAATTGGAACAAAATCTAAGTTACACACATGGGCCACTCTGATCCCGGTGCAGAAGCAGATCTTTCCTTTGGGCTGGATGGCGTGCAGTTTGGACAAGAGGCGGCCCGAATCTGGCGTCAGCGTGTTCAGGACCTCACAGTTACTGCACGAAAACAAAAAACAAAGCATCCACGTCTATCCATCATCCGCCGCAAAGTACAACAACACAAATCGTGCTCCGAAGTGTTGATGTGAGGGTGAACACTTGTAGAACATGTGGCCTTTTGTATCAGAGTAACCTACTTTGCCATAGTGATGAGGCCCACGTTGTTTTCTGGATTGCTTCGTGTTTTGGAGTGGCAAACAATGTTGACAGCATCTTGTTGAGCTTGTAGTCTCGTTGGTAGAAAGTCTCCATTCCTCATGTATTCACTGTTGTCCACACTGTGGAGGGGTAGAAGTTCAACGTGAATCTGGTGACGTGAACGCGTTAACGTTATGTAGGTTACGTTAGGCTGCTAACCAGCGGACATGTCATTCTAACGGTAGTTAGCACAGGCCTCGTGGCTAGTTTATGTCAGTATTACGTTTTAATTAATTTTCACTATCAGCTCCACGGGAGGCGTTAGCCCTCCTCGCCGGGACGTAACATTCACCGTGTTTAATAGAGTTAAAATGCTGCCGTGACGTCATAAAACAGGCTTAGCACGGCTGGCTAACGATAGCAAAGTGGTGATTCAACAGAAAGTCAACGGTCGAAACGATCGCGTCCTCGGAAAATACTTTGAATAAAATATGTAAAGTACACAACTTTATTGTAAAGTGGGTCATTTAGGAATGTAACTTTGGTCATGTGACACATCCAGCGAGACAAATACTTTTAATAAAACAGCAAATCTAAGCTAACTTTAGCTGCAATGACTCAGCCGGTCGACAGTGCGTTAGCCAAGCTAACCGTCCACAGTGAATTATCGATCCTCCGTACCGGACCATTTGCTCATAAATTTAGATTAAAGACCGACAACACCGAGAGACCATTTGTTAGGTCTACGTTTGAACCGCTTACAGGTCCACAACCACAAAAAAGACATTTGTAGGCTTCTTACCAGACCATGGTACTTTCGAGCCCCATTTTGGAAACTTCTTGTTGCTGTCTGTCGTAATCGTGCAACCTGCCCGGCTATTGGATAAGGACTGAACAAAGCGAAAGGGGATTGGCCAGTATTTTTGGCCTAATAATATTATTTTACTCATTTTCACTTGTGATGTTGGGTCCTTTCCAATTTCTTTTCTTAAAAACGTCCCTACTCAGATGGCGTACAATAAAACTTATTAATTGTCAAACTAGAATTGGAAGATAATAATAAAACCTCCTCTGAAGTAAAAAGTAAATATTCAATTAACTTACACTTTACACTACACTTAATAGTAGTGTCGTAGTGCGTTTTAAATCGAGAATCTGTCTATGGCTTATTCAGTAATTAACATTGAGCTGGGTCAGAGGATGGGGGAGGACTTGGGACAGACCCAAGCGTGTAGTGAGGGTGAACTGGGAACGTCTGGAGGAGGCACCGGTCCAAAAGATTTTCAACTCACACCTCCTTCTCTCACATTCCCGAGGAGGTAGGGGACATTGAACCAGAGTGGTGTATGTTCAAAACATCCATTGCTGAAGCCGCGGAAGCGAGTTGTGGCCTCAAGGTCTTAGGTGCATCAAGGGGCGGTAACCCTCAAACCCCGTGGTGGACTGAAGAAGGAGGCCTTCCGGGTTATGATATCCGGTGGGACTCCGGAGGCAGTTGCAGTGTACCGACAGGCTCGAGGGGCAGCAGCCTCTGCCATGATGGAGGCAAAGCAGTGAGTATGGGAGGAGTTCGGGGTAACTATGGAGAAGGACTTTCGGTCGGCACCAAGGTGCTTCTGGAAGACCATCCGGCACCTCAGGTGGGGGAAACGGGGAACCATCCAAGCTGTGTACAGTAAGGATGGGACCCTGCTGACCGCGACTGAGGAGGTTATTGGGCGGTGGAAGGAACACTTTGAGGAACTGCTGAATCCAACTACTCCGCCCTCTTTGGTAGAGGCGGAGGAGGGATCATCGTCAATTTGCCTGGTGAAGGCCCCGGGGATTGATGAGATATGCTCATCCAGTCTACAGATTATAGCTCTGCACTGGCCTGGGAACACCTTGGGATCCCCCAGTCAGAGCTGGTAGATGTGGCCCGGGAAAGGGAAGTTTGGAGTCCCCTGCTGGAGCGGTTGCCCCCGTGGCCTTACCCCAGATAAGCAGTTGAAAAAGGATGTCTGGATGGATGGCTACCTCAATATTGTCGTATTCCATAACACAATTGAAAACATACAATCTTTATAATGTAGTATAATCAAACAGAAGCAACATTAACTTTAATAACTCCAGTTTATAAGTTTAAAAAACATAAGAGCAAGAGAGAAAACAACTGAATATATATTGTCGTAAAGGCATTTTTGTGATCCATGCAGGCTGTTGTGCACACATTTAATGTATATAAGTCAAAGGCATGTGAAGACCAATAAACAATCAATACAGAAAAAGTCACAGGAGGATTTACCAATTGGTTCAACAAAGACAGGTTTTACCCAGTAACAGTTGCATGCCTTTTTATATAGGCTTGTTCAACTAAAGGCACATATTCAATCAATACCCCCCCATTTATAAACATTTTGGACACCAAAGCAGAACATTCAGTAATAAATACTAAAATACAGTTCATACCATAAGACATAGTTTGAAATACAACAGCGAGCAGAGTAAAATTCCTCCACATACCATTAACAGGATGTAGAAAACAACATGTAGCATGTGTACCTTTTCTTAGATGGAAAATTGTCATCATTTAAGATATTGCACCACTCTATACTCTCAGGAATACAGTAAAATGCTGTAAACATAGAATATTTTTTGCGTAGTTGAAGCATCTTTCAAGCTACTGATTAAATGTGGCTTTCACACTAAACATGTATTACAAAACATTTCAGATTTATAAACATTGAACATTTTAACATTCAAGCAGTGCACATTAATTGTTAGTGCTAAAACCGGAACTGAACAACTAATGATACGTCTACCAGTTTTGTCATTTGTACTTTTACACACCAGATAGCCATGTTTTCTTAATGAAAAAAGTTTACTACTGTACCGTAGCTACGGGCTGTCTCGAAAATCCATGTATTTGGATAACCCGTCCCATGAAGCACACGCTTTAATGGATTTACCAGTTCAGCCGAGGACAGAGGCACAATTTAAATGACAAGCAACGATCAACAAATCAACATAAAGTGAATTTACTGAACGGAGGTATCCCTTTTGAGAAATTCCAGCAAAAGAAAAAAAAGGTTATGTTACTTAGGTATGGTTAAGATCATAAAAGTAACACAATCGTTTTAATAGAAGTATTTCCGAAAAATGAATCAAAGTATTTTTTTAATAGAAGGAAGAAGAAAAAGCTGAAAATAATACAACAATCAAACTGCCATAAATGTTAATTGGTGAGAAAATATCCGCTTTTATATCTGGTTGACAAGAGTAAAGGGGAGAAAAAAAGATGCCTCAAATTTGAGTAATCCATATATTACATTTGAACGTAGCTTTTTACCTTCGTATAGAAATAGTTAGTAAAAAATACATGTTACAGAAATGTTGTTTTTATAGTTTTAAAATATTCAGCAGGAAAGTCCAAACTCCAACCAACAGATATTTCTAAATTTATTTTGACCAGTACATCCTACTACGCCAGTTCTGTTTGGTCCCTCCTGGTTACTTTAGTGAAAGTAATCAAGAGAACAAGGGACAGACAACAACACACAAGAAAAAATCTGAATGTTAAAAAATAAAAACACATGTTCAAATATCATCCAAAAGAAAAAAAAACTAAATTTTTTTACACTCATGTGCCGTAAGACCAAGTTACTGACGCTGTCACTTTGTGCAAATCACTACATCTTCAGGTCTAAACTGATACTGCTGCCACAACTTTTCTGTTTCAGTAGTGTAGTTTGGACCGGACCGCTGGTCTAAAACCAGTAGTGTTATTATTATGCAATCTGATGATATTAGTGGAGGCTAATTTCAGATGCTTTACATAAACTACCCTAATAATGCAGATGATCTTTATGACTCTCCAGCGCTGCAGTGTTAGAATGTCATTACTGTGTTCTGAGCTGAACCAATAGGAATACTCTGAAGTAGAACGTTTGATCCTCTTAGAAACGGCTTTATTACATTTTATTGCAACAAAGGGACACCTGTTTATAATGCAAACATTTACTGTTACCATAACAAATATTATAATCTAGTGATTGTACCATGTAATGACACTTAAGTTATGTGTTTCTATTTGTTCAGCCGTGGCAAATTGTAAGTCGATGCTCTCCAATCAATCATCAATCCGTGGGGAACTGACACAGCGTATTAATTCTTTGGTCACATTTAGACATAAGCCTGTCTCCAAACAAATCTCAAAACTGAAAACTGTACAGTGTAAGTATAAAAACATATTTGAATAAAACCCTTTGACCTGAACATGAGGTGACATTAAGGATTCACAGTCTATTATTAACAGTTGATTAAATAAAAGCCACGAGGTGAGGATCATCTCTTCTTCCAGCACGATGTACATTCAGAGTAGGCGTAAAAAACCTCAGCGTCCCAACAATGCACAAGGAAATAGCTTTAAAAAAATTTAAAAAGTTGTACGTGTTTCCAACCCAAACAATATGTTTTTTTGTGAAGACATCCATGTAGCAGGAACCCTACTGTAGGCTCGGACCTTTGGGCGGTGGGACAGACGCACTTACAGAGATGAGTGTGCACAACAGTGCGCTACAGCATCTATTAAACACAGTTGAGGAAGTAATTCTAAAAAGGAGACAATTGCAGGCTGAGTTTTCAGAACTGGGTTGGTTTGTGCATGGAAGCGTTCCTATGAGATGAATAATAGTGTTCAATAACCACAGCACTAATGTACCCACAATTACTAGTGTCAGGACAAAACCGCCCACTGACATGCTCATACTATGTTGAGATTTGGCAATCATAGTGCAAAACGATAACAGCAATAACATTTAATGTCCCACTTTGCCGAGGCACTGTAAGCTTTACCTCGGTCAAACCAGGTGGGCTTGATGACATCTTCCAAGTTGGTCTCGGTTCATTTAAAGTTCATTCGTTTACACCTACAGACCAAAAGGCAACGTAGTTAGGGGAAACAATTACAAAAGCAAAATCTGTCATAAGAAATGTAAAATTTTGTAGCAACTTACAGCGCATTTGCCTGCGTTGGGAATAATGCCACTGAGTGAGATCACACCCTCGTCGTACTGAGCTCTGCAAACAACAAAAGGACCAGTTTAAGTGAATTGAATTTCACACAATGTGAAACACTGCTTGTGTAAGTGAAAAAAAAACCATTTGGAAATACATGAAATTTTTTTAAATACTACTTTTAGCAAAAGGTTTACTTAAGATTTGCATGGTGAAGATGTTTATAATTTAAAAGGCACTTTTAACAACACTGTATGCCTTTGCACGGGCAGAATTGCTTGAGGTTCCGGTTGAAGGACACTTTCCCCCTTTACTCTCCAGCCGCCTTCACTTCCACCCACAACATACTGAAACCCAGCCAGTCTAAGAACGTGGTGTTGGATGTGTGCAGAGCTGCTGCACAGCTAATAATTACCATTATAATTAATCCTGGCATGGTGTAAGATAAACTTAAATCTGGGTGCACACTGTAATTAATATATTACAAATTTGAGGAATTAGACATTATAACAAGTTACCGACCTAAACACATTTGAAAATGGTTTTACCCCTGACAAGGTTTCATAATAAAACACTCATCAGAATGTGTGTTTTCCCTCTTACTCATTTAGGCAGCTGAGCTCCTGGTCTTTGGCCTGCGTGTTGTTTGTATTCACGTCCTGAGGTTGAGGCGGAGGCTGACTTGTGGCAACAAATCCAGGGTTCTCCGAGGAGGAGGAGACGGGGGTTTCAATAGCGCTGCCAACATCTTTGCCGGGTGGTAAGATCTTTGGTAGGAGGTCAGGACGACCAGACTGCATGACTGGATGGAACGGGAGGGAAAACTGTTGATACTGTATTGTGCAAGAAGCCCTTCACACACGCACCAGTACATGCTTGAGGAGTGCCGTTACCCAAAAACTAAACTCGATTTCAACACGTAAGCTGAAATCCTGATTTTGCTTCTTACCGTTGTCTCCTTCAGTCTCGGAGCTGACTTGGTGTTGGAGGAAAGACTGCTGGCTGTTGCTGCTTGTTTGGGCCATCAGAGCAGGCCCAGTGCCAGGTGGCTTCCTCAACGGGCCATGTGACAGATTACGTCGCTTCTTCGATGGCGAGGTCTTTACTAGATACGAGAGAAAAAGCATTAATTAAGAGGCCACAAAACGAGACTGACATTATGGGCTAAATTTTGGTGTTGTGCAATACTGCGAGCCAGAGAGGTGTGACGACATGCAGCACGGTTTAGTCTGTTCACTCTTTATTGCTGTCGGAAGGCAGCGGATATCTGTTTTATCTTCAGTCTTTAATGTTGAGTAACATTAATAAATTCAACAAGAGTTGTCATCTGCAGTTTGATCAGCCGTTTGCATTTGTGAAATACTGCACTCGAGTAAAGATTCCGACGGGGTTCCCAAACTGTCACTGCACCACGATAGGGAGACGCCTGTGTTTAAAGGCAATGAAAGCAACGCGCGTGCCAAGCAGAGTATTTATTTGCATTATTTTAATGGATACAATATGTACTTACAAGAGATTTTCTTGAAGACTGAATGGCACATGAACCTCTGAAATCTTTCTGCATAGAAACTGGGTCTGTGTACCGATACAGTGTCCTACAGAAAAGGAACGATTCCATTCAGAAACTCAAATTCAAACTAATTTGAACCCTATTAACTGATACGAGAAGATGAACTTACCCCATCGTGAACCAAAGCTTTCCACGAGTGTTCAAGCTTCTTTACGAATCTGAAAAACAAAGCCTGGATTACACTCAATAATATGCCTGAACACTTCCTGTGCAGACAGAGAAAGGCCAATGAAAACGTGCTGCTTCTGCTTTGTAGGCTGTGTAGTCATTGTGCTCCACTGGCAGCACATTGGCTTTATAGGTACACAGATGTGTGTGCTGCTTACCTATAAGACTGCAGAATGTCGATAATACCAATATACACCAGCAGCCTCTCCCCGTTTGAGTTTCTTGCTGGGATTCCTCCCGTTCTGTCGAATCAAATACAAATAAACATTGTTTAGTGTGCCGTCCTTACTCAAAGCAAACACGGCCACTGAAACCCCGGCACTCACTGGTCCTCGGTCTCCGGTGATCCCGTGCTCCCCGCCTCCGCCTGGATGGCCTCTATAGCAGTGCTGTACAGGGACTTCTGGCCTTGTGGCTTCCGGTGGTCCACGGCCCCGGCCACCGCCTCTTTGCTGGCCTGTTCTTGAAATGCTTGATCGACATTGTGGATTCCCACGAGAAGGCTGTAGTCCATAATCTTAAAGCTTTGCAGAAGCTTAATTGAAAACGAGGAACACAAGAGACAAGTTAACCTCCCAAAATTTGAAAGAAAATATAGGAGAGAAATTTAGATTTTAGTACTAATAGTTCATGTGCATTTCATGATGATTTTATCCTAAATTTATTTGAAAGTATCCCACTCGTAATGTTGAGACAGGCACACATCTGAAGTTCTTACCAGGCAGTCTCTCTGGATGGTTTTGCAAACCGCACTATACTTGTCCCCCTCCAGTAACAGCCCGTTCTGCATGTCCTGCAGGAAGTCCAGGTCCTTGTATGTGGGAACAGACTTTTCCTTCTCTTTAGCGGAGGCCCGTCGCTTGTAGGTGGAGCCCTTTAAATCATACTTGAAGTGCATTTGTACGGCGCTCGGGAGAAGATTGTTCATGACTGCTATACGGATGTTCTTACCCGCTGCCTGGACACAGTAGAGCCCATAAAACTTTGGTAATAAGGTACGTTTGTTCTGGTTCAGGTTCTAAAAAAGGGCAAAGGACAGAAGACGGAGAGTAAAATATTAACACAAAATCCCCAAATAGCCTCGGGTCCAACTGAAAGTAACTATAGTCATTGTTTATTATTCCCTGAATTAATCATGTCGTCTACAGTATTTAAGTAATTAGTGAAAAAGGCCAACGGGAACATATTGAAGGTAATAATTAGTTCTCACCATGAAGTAACCTGGGAGCAGTTTCTGCAGAAACTCCGCCTCTTTGTGCTGCACTGTCTTAATGATGAACTCATCATCACTGGAGACGTAGAAGAGGGATCCACTCGCCCCAGAGTTTGATAGCTCGATCATCGACTCATTACAGAGCGAGTACTGTCACCAGAGCAGAATGCAGCAGTTAGAAATGTTACATCATAGAAAGCAAAGAACTATGACTGCAGGTTAAAAACAAGCCCTCTGACTCTACATTGTAAACAGCGTGTGTCAACAGTTTTTTCACGCATTCTCGGGCCGCATTCTTTTACGCCTTCCATCTCAGATAATTCACTTTCCTCAGAACATTACAGGTAACGGTTAAACAAGAATACCATATAGTCACCAGGTCGGATGCCAAACATCTCTCTGAAATACCGAAAGGCCATTGGGGCATACGTCTTGAACCTGAAGTCTCCATAGTGGTGGGCCGGTGTCAGGTTACTGCCCTCACTGCAGGTGAAAACAAGCGGCTGATGATTAGTGACAATACAAAATTACATAAAAGAGTACTAATTTAATACAGCCAGAACCCCTGCCTCTTAATAATTTATCTTTAACTCAATATTTTACAACTTTACCTGGGAAAGAAGATGCTTTCAACTACTTCAAAGTCCTGCAGCAGCACATCTCTGTCAGGCTTCTGGCTTAAGCTGCCCACCGTGTGCGCGATGCCTAACTGGATGGCGCCTTGTAGGGCGGAAGATGTTGTCTGAAAGAAAAAGCTAACTGACATGACTCAAAAAGGCAAATGTAGATCTCTACTAATTATATATTAGTAACCGATCACAAGTCATCTTCACGATCGGCCTCGGCAAGACTAACGAGTAAGGTTTGACGTATCTTTATAAATTAATATTGCTTTACATGTCATTTAGCTGACGCTTTTATCCAAAGCAACTTACAATAAGTGCATTACAACCATGAGAATACAAAATCAGAAGAACAAGAAACAGCGTCAATTTCATCAAAACAGTATGGTAAAGATCAGCAACAAATACTTAAATTACCAAATCAACAAAAAATGAATCTCTGGCTATTTTGATAATTGCTTGTTTGAGTCTTTTCTGATTTAGGGATGTCACCTCTGGCTCTTGTAAATGTCTACAGACAACGGGCAACGGGTAAAAATATATTGCAGATTATTCAATAAGGAAATTGATTTTTTGTAAATGAACTTGGGTCGAGGAAAACTGATCTCCCACCTTCTTGTATGTCGTTTCCCCAGTGCGATCAATTCCACGATGGCCGATTGTCTTTTTCATGGCCGGAGACATGTGACTGGTGCTTGGACTCTGAGTACAAACATTTTGGAAGAATAGAACATTTAGAGGAAAAAAAAAAAAAAAAAAAGTAATCCGCTGCAAAGTAATATCCTCATGCTTCAAAGAGGAAGGAATGAAGGGTGTGTCAGCTAAATATCAGCAAATACTGTAAAGACATACGCAATGTGTTTCCTAACCGCCAGACCTAGATTGCGCATTTCCTGAAATCTGACCAGCCATTGCCTACCTCGGGAGAAGCATTTTTTCGGGTCCCAATTGAAACTAGAGTGAAAAGGGGAAGAAATGTAAAAGTTAGAAAAACAGACAAGAAGGGAATGAAATAAGTCAATTCAACAAATGTAATGCTCACACTGTATGCATTTATATTACGCCATACATCTTGGAAAAGCTTCCACCATTGCCTAATGGTGACAAGAAAGCGTGCAGACGCACCTCATTCATTACCTCAGAGAAAAGTCTCCTCCAGAGCTGACTCTGAAGGTCTTTGAGTGCAATGGGAGGAATTAGATGAGTATTCTAGATTACTGTTTAAGTAAATCCATGGAGGATAATGAATGTCTTGATATCTTGAATGAAGAATTATTGTCATGGGAGTCCAAAGTCAACGTTAGACATTAATAGTCCACTTTTGTTGGTTGAGGAACACTTGTTGTGTCACAAAATGACACAAGATGGTGTGAGCGTACTTTTCAATTTCCGTTTCTCACTTCTTAACAGCGAAATGTTGTGATTTCCAGCGCACAACTTTAAAATCGAAATCCCTGTGGGTGTGGAGTTTAAAAGTCGTGGGTATTTACCAAGCCAGGTGGGTCAAATAAGAAGATGCCAATTGGAAATGTAGGATTATATTTCATGCTTTTGTTTTTTTGGAGAGTAACCAATACCAGGGAATAATAATTTGCATATTTGGCATTTTGACCATTCGTCTTTTTAACCTCTCATAAAAATCCCATAAATGAATATAGTTCAGTACATCCATTAAATACATCTATTTAACACAAATGCAGTCTCCTGTACTCATTACATTGCTCTTGTTTCAGTTTATTTCAAACAGTGAAATTAGTAACAACAACACACATAAAAACCCCATAATCATTTGAGTCAATAACATAAAAAAAATGTGAACACATTGGTGTGTTAACAACTTGGCAACTGAGTAAACAGTAACGCTGTTGGCTTATCATCAGCTGACCTGACGTTAACCCTTGCATGAGACTAAATGGTTTGAATTAAAGCACTTACTTCCAGAGGGGCCCTGCAGCTCTGGAGGCTCCTCTGCAGCTGTGGCCATTCAGACCGAATCTTTGGTCCGGAGTGAAAGTCGGATCCGGATTAGACAGTATGACAGTTTTCGCTGTGTGAGCACTTCTAGTAGTTTGCGATCTGGGTGGACAAAAGTTGCTCGTTAATGTTGAACACTTACTGATGACTTCATGCTACAAATATTGACGACCGCCACGTTGACTGGTTCCGTTGATGGATTGGAAAAGCTGATTTGAAAATACAGAGTAACGTCAACGTAACGTCAACAATAATGGCGGTAGTGGTGAAAAGTTTTTATTGACAACCCGTGCGCACTGAATCTGGGTGGGACTAACTTTTCGGTAAGAGCAGTGCGTGTTGTAACAGTCTAGCACGTTCATGTACAACGGTGTCTCGATTGCGACGTTTAACGTTAACTAAGCTAACGTTAGCTGCTAACTCTGAATCAACTTTTCTGAACTTTAGCAAAGCTCGTCACACTGATAGCTAAACAACAACAATGTGAGCAAAGGGCCAACTCACTTGGAAATCGTGTGGCGTAGGTATCCCCGTTTATTGAGAAAGAAAAAAAAACTTTAAAGGTACCTTTTTTTCGTAAAACCAAATAAACAAGGAAGCAGCAGTTCAGGCACAACGGGCAGAGCAACAACAACACTTCCGGTGAAATGTCCTTTCAGAATAAAACCCAAATGTCCGAAGAAACGACGGATCTTTAAGCAACAGGCCGGGGCTTGTCCCGGTGAAGGGATGCAGGTCACTTTTAGAAGGCGTGTGTCAGACCAGGCACCAGGATTTTCGAGTTTGAAAAGTAGCAGGTGGTATGCATTGGACTTGCCTTTAAAATCCAACTAAAACTGAGCTTATTTTCTCCCTCGTTTACTTTGGGTAGGTTGATGTAACGTTAGAACTATTAAAAAGCATAAAGTTGTAGTACAAGAAGTTACATACCTGTTGCAATATCACACGAATAAACATTTCAAGGTGTAAATCTACCTGACGTACTCAGCTGATACTAACAGAAAACACTTTTAAAAAGGCATAAATCTCACTTTGATGTGTTGATTTTCCAAACAAACTTCACCTCTTCTGTTAAAGTTTACGTGTGATCCACTCCGCCATGAACATTCAATTTTAGATAATAGCATTTAATACTCTGCAAAAAAGCAAGTATTAATGTCTGTCAGCTGTTTCTTGTGGCAAGAGATGGTGGGATTTTTAATAAACAATTACACATGTCTGGACCTCGATTAGCAGCTGGCTATGCAGCAAAGATGATCAAACCGGAAGTGTGTTTCTCTCCTCCCAAAATATTGCAATGGACATGTCCCTACAGTCTATAAGCCAGCCCACATAAATGCAAACCCACACCTGTTTTCCCTGACTTACCCCACACGTTCACTGGAAGGATACACCTACATTCCTACACTCTCACCAATCTACATTTACAAACACACATAGATAAACGAAGGAGCCCCGTAAAAATCAAGTAGCCTAAGGACCGGCCCTAACAGGACATACCTGCTTCTCTGACGTCCTGTTTATTCTTATTATTCCTGATATCTACGAAAGAAACAGCGCTGTCCACGGTTCTGAAACCACAGCTATGTGAAAGTCACGATTGGGCCTGACCAAAGGTCGTTGTTTGACATTGAGAGCTTCTATCGTGCGGGTTTTTTTTTTTAATAGAGTGTTGACTGATTGGTGCTCAGCCAAACCTAGATTTGATCCTACAAGTTGTAATTTACCAAAGCGGTTTATCTAGAAATACAACATTTAAATAGAGTGAAAGTATAAAAGTTATACTAACTGAAAACAAAAGAATAAATAAGTATGTGCATTATTGTCTACATAAATGTTAACTTCCCTCCCTCTAATAAAGTGTATTTGACCACAAACTACCAGCGGTGTTATTTTAGTTTGTGCTTATTTAGCAATATTTTCCTATTTTATTGCATATTCTTTTACTCAGTTTCAGCTTTTAGTTGATGAGAAAATCACCATGGTTTTGTGGTTAGGTAGCAATTTTAAAATTCTCACAAACAAATGTCACAAACACAATTATTAAATCCAATAGTTATCAACAGTGACTTTACACACATCAATTATGAGTCTTGAACAACTGAACTTGTTTCAAAACCCAACTTGTTTTCTCATTTGAATCTGTCTATTGTTTCTGTCAAGTTCATTATCTTGTTATATAGTAGCTTGTTCAGTAACAAAAAGCATACGAGAACTGTAATGTCGTTATTTCAGCCTTTATTTCCTTAAAGAAGAATACTGCAGTACGTGTTAGAAAATGTGACAACTGATAACAAGTGTAAAAACGCTATTAAGAAACCTGTTTCATGTTGTCACAACAAAGCTTAAAATACAGATTTGCCAAAATAATAACTGACTTCAGCTGTTTACATCCTTACTCAGCATTAACACCACCAGCATGCCCTGCGCTGCTGTGTGAACAACCGGGACGCATCTCAAGTCTTAGCTCAGCGTATCACACGTTGACCTATTAACTACTGTGTAACTTCAGCAGGCAGAAGCGTTGAAGGCCAGTCCTGGCTGCGCGGGCACAACCGGTGCAGTGTAGCCCGGTTTGGGGTCGTAGTTTGGGTTCGGCAGATCGCTGTTGAAGCACGACCAGCGAGCATCTCCACCGCTTCTACAGCACGTGTACGCGTTAGTCATGGTGGAATACTCTTCGTTGCAGAACTGCTTCAGGGTTTGTTTCCACTGTAAGAAAAAGATACACAAAGGTCACGACTGTCACACCGCGGTGAGATCTAGTTGGGGTTTTATCGTCTCCGTGCCTTGTCTTGTCATTTCCTGTCTTATTTTAAAAAGATTAACCCTGCTCTCGGTCACTCTTCAGGTCACTTGCCCCTCATGTGTCACCAGTCGAATCGTCTCCCCTGATTCCTGATTGTGTCCACCTGTTTCCCATTACCCTCATGTGTCTTATAGTCTGCGTCTCCCTTTCCCTGGTGCCGAAGTGTACCGACCATTCTCCAACCTGAGCCTGTTGCCTTAGACTCGTTGTTCCACTGCCCGCCTGGTTTGGTCTTGCTTTTCCCCGTTCAAGAAGAATTTTTGTATATGGATTCAGTCCCTCGAACCTGTTTGTACCTTTTTGTGTTTTCCTCCTAATGGAGCGATTTTGAGTTTTGTGATCTATGAGCCAAATAAAGACGGCCTTTTTCTGTTCATTCTGCTCTTGAGTCCTCTCTTAAAATGTGGGCCTGACAACGACGTTGTATTTCATCTCTCTGTCAAATGCAAATTTCGTCCTCAACAAGTCTTAACTACTTTTAGTTTATACAGTTAAATCTATTCCTTGGTGTTTGTATGTAGAATACTAGACTACACTCAAAAAAAGGATATTGGCTGGTTGTTACATTTATAGTGTAACATGTATTTTGAATGATATTAATTCATGTTGAATGCACTTACTGTAAGTCGCTTTGGATAAAAGCGTCAGCTAAATGACATGTAATGTTTCCAATGTGAACGTGATTCAGTCATGTAGGATTTGCACTTCATTTGAACTTCAAAAACGTAACATTTATTAGATCCATCCATGTTAAGATAAACTGGGACAATCGAGTATCTAGGCATGACCGCGAAAACCAAGGCGAAGGCAGTCTTCATCAGAACCAGATTAAGAAGATACAGCGTTGGGCCGCACATGGAAAAGGTAAGCAGAAATACATTGTCATCCGTCTAAATGTAAAACAATTACTAAGCACATGTTTCATTTACTAGGGATAATACTACCGTCATTTAGCTTTAATACTGGAATATAGGATATTAATTAGATAGTCCGGACAAGGACAATAGCAATGCACGGCTAATTTATCGTTAGCATCCTTTTACAGACTCTAGTAAAGACAAAGCTAACTTATAACTATATTTAGCTTAAAAGGTGAGCTTAGTTTGACACCCTTAAATCAACGGTATGATAATTATTTCAATACTTTAAGTGAATTTTAATGTTAGCTAAAATGGTCCGTTAGGTGTATTTGAATCCCACTGCAAAAGTGTCCTGGTCCACCTCACTTTTAGGTCGGTCAAAAAATAGCTTCTACCAGCAAGGGGCAGTAAATGGTCAGTCTATATTAAACTAAACTTTATAAACCCAACACAATAACATAGTGTTAGAGTAACGTAATTGTTCAGCATAGAGAAAAAAACAATTGTTTTTTTAAGTAAAGCCAACTAGTTATTTTATTGAGTGTACTGAAGAGGGACAAGTATTCCCTCAAAATGTGTATTGTCTTTTTTTGTTGCTGCTGCTGTATGAACTGAGGCACTGAGGTCCTTTTGTTACCATTTATCTTTACATCTATATGTAAAATGAAATTCAACCTGTGTTTTTTATTATGACTTTAATTCATTTTATGATTGACATAGTTATACATTTAATTAATTAAATCGCATTAATGTTAATATTGGTAATGTATTTCATTATTGTTATATATTGGACATATATATAGTTATTACAGAAGGTATTTTGTTGGTGGTGGTGCATTAGAGAAAGTATGCATTTAATATATTATTACATGTTGAGGTCCTCACACAAAAACAAAATGACAAAAGATGACAATTATAATTTGTTAATATCATTCCACGTGTACTTTTTAAGCAGATTAAATCATTGAAATATTTATAATATACAACTTATTCGTTTCTTTTAGATAACTGCAATATTCTCTATATTTATCTTCTTATAAAGAATTCTCGATGTATCTAGTTACCCGTCATAATTGTTAAATACAATTGTCTTTGTTTTTCATAATAAGACTGTTATAAACTGTCTCACATACACCGGCAGAAACTCACGGCTTGTTTGGCGCAGCAGAGGATCTGGTCACTCTGTCCGCTGCAGCACAAAGCGAACCACGACTCCAGGCGGTTGATGGCGTTTCCACGGCGGCGGAAGTGACTGACCCTGGATTTCGGGAAGAAGCTGGATGGGTATCTGGGACGGCCTTGACCATAATAGCAGATGGCAGCCAGGTTCTCAGCGGTGGGACAGGCAGGTGGGAAAGGCACGTTAGGCTCATTGAGAACGTTTTTTTGGGTCTCTGTGGGCAAACAAAATTGCGATTAGAAAAGTACATTGAGCATAACCGCTTCAAGTCTCTTGAAGAAATTACCTCCTACATCTGCGCAATGAAGAGTGAGTAGTGCAATTATCCAAAACCCTGTGACTTCTCGGAGGGAAATCATGACTGAATGTTGTCCAGCCGGAGCTTGAATTGTTCAGAGATATTGTGACTGGATCCAGATCAGAACACCTTATATTGGGTAAAGGGAGTGAGGGTGGGGTGGGAAATGCTCCGAAGTGGGGTTGTAATGGTTGAGAAAGAGAGAGCGTGTGTGTGTGTGTGTGTGTGTGTGTGTGTGTGTGTGTGTGTGTGTGTGTGTGTGTGTGTGTGTGTGTGTGTGTGTGTGTGTGTGTGTACACAGGGGAACATGGTGTTGTGAGCTGTCAAGATAAAAACCTCAGTGATATCTGCTCATGTATGTGTCAACAATTACAGACCATCCGCTTGTTGCCATGTTCTGTGACAGAGTAGCCAGAACATGTTGAGCCCATTTCCAGTCCTATGAAACATAATTAAAACAACTATAACACATCAGTCAATAACTAAATAAATGTATCCAACTTGTCCTTCATAGCAAAGCTAAATGTCTTTTTAGTTATTATAGGACCGTACTGAGGGGCCTGTTTTCTAATGCTATAGTAGAAGTTTCTTCTAAGGATCGGCTTGGAGTCTGGAAACAATGTTAGACCCTCCACTATGGTAAAGATGCTGAAAGTGCTTTTTACAGCAGTCCGATATATATCACAATGCCCCCCTTGATGACACATGAACTTAATAAACATTGTTTAATTCAAATTGTAAAAAGACCCTATCAAAAGCATTCATCAGAGCATGATGAAGTGGAGGAAATACTGTGGTCCTCTTACTAACGCCTATTAAAAATAATATTTTAACAGAGCATTTGTTTGACTAGTCAGTAAGTCAGTGAGGTGTTACTCATTAGATAAAATGTGAAAACATGTGGAACAGACTGGAACCCTTCAAAGCACATTCTGATGCCTTTCCGAGAATTAACCACTGGACGGTAAACTCCCACAACACATCTTGAGGAACAGTTTGAGTGCTTTCTGTTATCTGCTATAGAAACAGATAACAACCAGTAAAAGGAGGACATCTCGTCTCAAGTCGTTTTCTCACACTGTTTTGACTTTCTTCATGTGATAGGAATGAACAATGACTGAAATTATTTAACTTTAATGTTTTTTTTACCCAGTATTCAAAAAGTTCTTTCCTGAACACCATTCAAAGCTTTCAGCTTTGTGTTGTTGAGGAAGTGTAAATTACGCACTACCCTTTTTTGTCGCTAATATTACAGGCATTAAAAACATCTTTGTATAAGATGTGTTATAAATTCATTTTGAAGATATGAATACGTGTCCGTCATTATCAGATAGGCCTGTTTTATGGTTCAATGTTTGTTGTTGTGTGACTTCAGAAATATTTCTTTTATCACCCTTAAAGTGCTCTGATATCACCAATGCAGTTTACAACTGTCAAATAGTGACTCGTTGGATTTAAAGTATTTCTCATCTACTACATGCAATTGTTGCTTCACTGTAACTCAAATTTTACTTTACCATGCAAGGTGCTTTTTTTTCATCTTGCACAGTCGTGTTTTAATAAGTTCTGCTATTGAAACCCCACCGACAAACTCACACGCATTTCTGCAATTTCAGCAGATGCTTTGCCAAAGCAAATGAGTCATTGTGTTCCAGCGCAGTAAAGAACACTTCTGTTTGGTATCCGAAATGAACACATGGCAAACATTAAAGGAAGGGACGGAGTTTTCTGTCATTAGACTGTCAGCAAAACATTTCCTCTCTGCTCAACCCATTTGGTGGTGCACATTTGTACACATTTGAGTGAGTGATTTTAGAACGCCACCCGGCAGAGTGCGGGAGAAGATCTTGTTCCTTACTCGCTAACACAGAGATTCCAGGTCGTTCGTGTCTTTGGGTGAAGTTCCCGTTTATTTGTTTTTTACACTTTATTATACACTGTATATGCCTTTGCTTCCTGATCTCCCTCTGTGTGTTTTGACGGTAAGAACCGTGCAATCTCCCCGTCACCCATGCATCATTACCCGTGTCAATTGCACCTGTGCCCCCATATGTAGTCTCCCTGTCACACTAATACACTCCCCATTGGCTCCCAGTACAATAAAGAATGGCTCCTATGTTGTTGTAAAAAACAAAAGATGAATATTGCCCATAAATAAATAATTTCTACTACTTTTTTTCTTAGTGAGAATATAAAGGGCGACATTTTATAAACAGTAACATTCCCTCAATTAACATATTTCACATTTCAGCTATTCTAAAATATCCCACAGGTGCATAATGCGAACCTGGACCTGCACAATTACATGTGATCCACATTGCAGAGTCTCCAGTCAGCCTATCTATGATTTCCGATGCATCTACACTGCAGCTAAATGGTGTCATATGGAAGGTTTGCGGCTCAGAGACCTTTCTGTGGAGGTGGAGGATAAAGACAAAAAAAACGTTTATTGGGTTCATATTTAGTTCTTTGAATTTGCAACAATTCTTGTGTGACTTGAACTTTTCTTTCATGTTCAGTCCTGTTTCCTCACAGAGCTTTTGAGAAGACAATAACAATATATTATTTCAAATAATCAAAATCAAAATGTCCTTTGCATGAAGGACTGCAATGACTTAGTAGTAACCATCACATACATGTTTAAATTTTCTTTCTTTCTTTTTTTCAAATGTATATTGCTATATTTGTTCGTTTAAAAAAAAAGGAATACTTTTTTTAGGTGTCATAACGGGGCCCTCAATTTTTGCTTTAATTTATCAGGTTTCTAAACAGATGTAATTTATGTAAAAATCTCAACAGATTGAAAGAGACAGACATCAAAAAACTATTTTTGTTTCCATAGTAAAATGTATCATCATTTTTGTGTATGTCATTAATCTTTTAAAATATATTACAAAGCAAATATTTCAGTTTTCTTATTTTTTTTTATTATTGCAGATTTTTGACAAGACAGAATTTTGAAAATTGAAAGGAAATTTGATTTCTAAGTATACTCTATTCTCTATATGAATATAAATAATTTCATGAATCAATGATGTCAGTCTGCTTGGAGCTGAAGGATGTTCATCAATGTAGTTGGTAGAAAGCTGGCAATTTACAAACCACTGAAAAAGACACAGAGAAATATTTTTAAAAACTGAAGCAAAAACTATGACAATAATAATCATCTGATTTACAGGGAATCTCTGGACGTGACAGAAATGTATACATATATCTATAATAGGATTTTAGTTTTTCTTCTTTTACAGAAAAATACTATTACTGTGTATTTGGTGCGGATCTTGGTGTTTAGGTCCTTCTAGCATCATTACATTACATCGGTCATTATTTGGAGGCATGATTTATGCTGCTTACCATTGGGGGAAATCAGGAGCCGTCCACTGACCAATGTTCAGTGACGCAGATCCAACCGTCCCGAGAAAAGAGACCAGTGTTTTTTCTTTCAGATCTCCTTGTTTTGCAGGAGGGGTCACTGTTCCGCAGGCCCCACATACCGATGCGTCGTCACCGACAGTAATAGTGAGATCATCAGTTGGACTAAAGAACACCTGAAGATTGGAATGACTAATTCTCACGGTATTGTCAGAAACAACCACTTCCATATTGCTCTGGGAGAAAGTGGTTTGAGTCAACAGTCTTCCATTTATCTGTGAAGACAGATTAAAGACTTTATCATAACAACCCTTCTTTAAAGTGATATAAATGTCACATCTTTGTCCAGACACTTACCCAGATGTCATGTTTGCTGTTGATCGTGATCATCCCTTGATTGAAGAACACATAAACAGCTACAATTGTGTTGACACCAGGAGTGCACGCCTCCAACTTCACCACCACCCTGAACCAGTCCGATGTTGAATTGACATCACAGCTCTTGATCATCTCATAGGCTCCCGGCACTGTGATCAAACCACCCGTACCATTGAATTCAGTGAGGGTGGCATTGGCGCTCAGGAGGCACTGTACTGCGTGGCAGCCCATCACGCCTTTCTCCACCATGCATCTCTCATTGGGGTTGCAGGACATGTTTTGTGACAGCACTACTCCAGAGGCCTGACAGGTGGTGATCCTGTGACAGTCATCTGTTATGATGGACTCTCCCATCTGAAACAGAACACATGGTTTGGTTAATGGTTCCAACCGCCAAGCGCGCCCCTACACGGGATCTCGCACAAATGTTTTTTTGCCTGTACGTCCACGTCTGATACTTTCTGACAAATATATTGACCTAGAAAAGTGGCAAACTTCCCTGCTGCCGGCCATTAGTCAAATGTGTTGACGTGGAGCACACACTTTGTCAATAACAAAGCCAAAATGCATTTATCAATAATATCCAGGTTCACTCCAGCAGATCTAGTCTACCTGAAAAAACAATAATATACCACCTTCTCACCATATAAGTTTGTCCTTGGTAATAGCAGCTGCACTGGTCAGTGCGCACACAGCCAGTTCCATTGTAGACGTAGTCTTCATCACAGACACAACCCTCAGAACAAGTTGTTGTGCATGTGACAATGTCCTTGAGACCAGGACATGAAGACGTACATGGGAGTGCACAGGTGGCATAATGGCTGCCAGCACTGCATGTAAAAGCTGTAATCAAATAATAGGAAGTTTGTAGTTATTGGGATTTTTGTATGCAGTAAACTCTGACCAGATGTAGAGTTAAAGATTACAGTGTACAAGGAATAATAAAAATGTGCAGACTCACGGCAGAAAGAAGCATTTCTCCAGTTGCCAATATTCACGCCCAAACTCTGGCAGTCTGACATGTATGCAACGATACTTTGACACAGCATGCTTTCCTCATTCGTAGACATGCAAACGTCATATACACAATCTTGATAGTAGGAGGCGGGATCAATCACGCCATGGCAAGCGGCAAATGGACCATTGGTGTCGCTGATTATTGAGCATTCCGCCTTTATCGCAGCTTCTTTAGAAACGTCACATTTGGGGCACTGGTCGCCACTGCAGCCATCTTCACAGACCGCTCCAGGCACGGGCACTGTCCACGCTGCTCCAAAGGTCTGGAAGTCCTTGGTCAAATTTCCATCCGGAAGCTGGAACTCATCTGCTTCGTCGTCATTAAAATTGCCGCACAGGCCACACGTTCTTCCAAAGTAGCTTCCAGGGACA